GGGAAGTGTAAGGATCACTTAAATTTTACTGCAATTCTTATTTTTATTTATTTATTTTTTGCTGTACATTTGCTTTCCACGTGACATTTATTCCACGCTAATAAAAAACAGAAGCTAGTTTATATTCCCTGCTGTGGACCCCTTGGTGGTGTCCTTGAACAAGCCAACCACCTGGCACACACAAGGGAAGCCAGCTAGCCTGGCTCCCTGGAGGCAGCATATGCTAGGCAAGTCACCATGAATGCCATCTTCCCTCAGGCCCTGATAGAGACAGCCGAGGACTCTGAACCTAAAAGCCTTGGGAATAGCAGTTCCCCCACCCCACCCCACCTACTCTGAACCACCAAACGGGCTTCCAGCACAGCCTCCATAGCCATCATTGAGGGGAGAAACCATGGTGAGGAGGAACATACCTTCCTCATCCTCACCAGTGACAACCAACAGTCAGGTGGGCACAGGAGCAGTGGCATGGCAGCACACTCCTGACCCCTAGTCCCACCAATAGCCCAACCCTTACAGCTACTATCCAGGGAAACAATTCCTATAGAGCAGGGGCTGGCTATCCTACCAGGTGCTGTCTGATACCCACAAGACAGGCAAGCCAGCCTCGCTGAAGCAGCAGGGCCTGTTCAGGGAGAGACAAAAGGCATCATGTGCCAACAGAGTCAAGCCATTATCACCACCTTGACCCTCACCTCCCCTAAGAACTGATGGAGGCAGCCCAGGACCCTCAACCCAAACACCTTGAGAATGGCAGTGCTTTAATTTGGATAAAACCATGCTTACGCTTTGATCCAGCAATACCACTACTAGGTATGTATCCCAAGGAGGTCATTAAAAAAAGGAAAAGGACCCACATGTACAAAAATATTTATAGCAGTTCTTTTTGTGGTGGCCAACAACTGAAAACTGAGGGGTTGCCCATCAATTGTGGAAGGGCTGAACAAGTTGTAGTATATGAATACTATTGTTCCATAAGAAATGATGGGCAGGCAGATTGCAGAAAAACCTGGAAAGCCTTACATGAACTGATGCTGAGTGAAGTGAGCAGAACCAGGAGAACATTGTATATAGTAACAGCAACTTTGTGCAATAATCAACTTTGATAGACTTAGCTCTTCTCAGTAATACAATAATCTAAGACAATTCCAAAAGACTCATGACAGAAAATGCTATTCATATCCAGAGAAAGAACTGTGGAATCTGAATACAGATCAAAGCATACTATTTTCTCTTCTTTTTTGTTTTTTTTTTCCTTTCTTATGGTTTTCCCCTTTTGTTCTGATTCTTCTTTCACAAGACTAAAGTGGAAATATGTCTAATTGATTGTACATGTATAGCCTATATCAGATTGCTTGCCATCTTGCAGAGGGTGGGAGGGAGGGAGAAGAAAAAATTGGAACTAGAATTCTTATAAAAATGAATGTAGAAAACTAAAAAAAGAGAGAGAGAGAATGGCAATGCTTTGGCTAATGTGGAAATGTTTTGCATGAGTATACATATAAAATCTATATCAAATTGCTTGCCTTCTCAAGAAAGGGGAGGGAGAGAATTTGGAACTCAGTTTGTGTGTGTGGGGTTGAGTGATTTACTCAGAATCACACAGCTAGTAAATGTTGTGTCTGAGGCCAGATTTGAACTCAGTGCTCTATCCACTGTACCACCTATCTGCCCTGAACTCAACATTTTTAAAAAAGAATGTTAACAATTTTTGTTTACATGTAAATGAGAAAAAAATAAAATAAAAACTAAATCAACTTTAAAAATTAATTAAAAAGAGAGAGAGAGAGAGAGAGAGTAACAATGCTTCCAGCCCAGTACTCTCAGGCATCATCCTGGGAAGAAGGGCAGTCTGTGAAGTGGCCTGGCAATAGCTCCTGAAGGTGCTTCAGCCACAGCTACTAAATACCCAGAAAAGAAAGTTCTTGCCACCAAAGTCCTTGGCACTATAGAATGGTTCAGTATTAGAAACTGATGTCGTTTTATCAGTGGAAATGGCATTGAAGAAGAGGCATTAACATCTGCTTTGTCTCTACAGTCTAAGGACCCTGGGATCTTTCCATCTGACTTGCTGCTGGAACCTTTCATAAATGATTCCTCCCCCATTGTAATGTGCGCTCTTTTGAGAGCAAAGACTGTCTTACTTTTCTATTTGTATGTCCAGAGCCTAGTATAGTTCTTTGCACATAGTGCTTAATGTATACTCTGTATTCATTCATTGATGGAAAGGGGGAAAAAGCCTCAAAGCATGCTGATTGTAAAGAGTTTGGTATTCAGAATTTGCCAGATGTTATTGGGATGTAAGCTTTATTTTGAGGCAAAATATATCAATAAAACCCTGTATATGTATTTATTTTAAAAACAATTTTTGAGGCAGAGTTAAGTGACTTGCCCATCGTTACCTAGCTGCTAAGTGTCACATTTGAACTCAGGTCCTTTTGACTCCAGGGCCAGCGTTCTGTCCATTGTACCACCTAGCTGCCCCTACATATTTATACAAATTTATAGAAATACATATGTATTGATTTATACATACATACTATATAAATATGTATGGCTGTCTTTGTATAATGTCTAATGAGATTTTCATGAACAATCTAAGGATAATTTTTGAGAACATGTGTGATTAAAATTGATGTAAGTGAAACAAAAGTTTTATGAAAATAGTAACTTGAGACATAGCCACTATCTGCTAATCCAGAATTACTTTGCTATTACAAAATGCTATATAATTCATAGAGTAAATTGTCTCTGTCAATTTTTTTCCCTGATTTTTACATTTGTTCAGTCATTTTTCATTTATATCCAGCTCTCTGTGACCCCATTTGGGGTTTTCTTGGCAAAGATACTGGAATGGTTTGCCATTTCCTTCTCTAGCTCATTTTACAGATGAGGAACTGAGACAAACAGAATTAAGTGACTTGCCCAGGATCACACAGCTAGTACGTGTCTGAGGCCAGATCTGAACCCATGAAGATGAGTCTTCCAAATTCCAGGCCCAGTACTTCATCAGGGATGTAGAAAGTCCCTCTTTTCCTTTACTCATACCCTATTGGAAGTTCCAGCTGTTTCCCAAACCCCAGAGTGACCTACTACAACCAAAATGGCTGCTTAGAAGGCTATACCGAAGGTAGAGAGTCCCAGCTCTGCCAGGCCTTCATGAGCAGTGTTTAGGGAACAGAGTTTCTCTGCTGGGTTATTGATCCACTAACAAAGTTTGGGCTAGGAACTGCTGAATCCAAATTACTCAGGACATCTGAAATGCTATCTGTAGATACTGGGTCACTATAAAACAGAGGAGGAAGAGGAAAAAGGAGGAAGAGAAGGAACTATTCTCTTAGGATACAAATGTAAGACTATGGTGGTGGTGGTGGGTTCTGCTGTCTGGCTAGACTAGACAGACTCCTTTTCCCAAGGAAATAAGGGACAAGGAGGCAGGAATAGCGGCAATGACAGGTGAGTCTTTAAGTAAAGCCACCTGGCAGAGTCTTTACTGAGTTTGTTCCTGGTTGCCTGGGCAATTGATCAATCAATGCATGAGCATTTATTTATTAAACACCATTCTGGAATGTCAAGAATTGTGCTACTCTGCTGGGGATACAAAGAGAAAGAATGAAAAGAGTCCATGGCCTCATGAAGTTTGCATTGGTACATTTGGAGCAAGCTTCAGCTCCTTGGGCCGTTCTGAGTATAAAAAACAGTCCCTATCATGGTTGCTTGGGACTAGCCTGTCATCCTGAGCAGAGTCCACTTCCTGGGATTTCTGTGGGTGCTGCTTCCTCCTTCAGAGATCAGAACTGACAGCCGAGGTTTAGGGGTGACTGGTAAAGGGAATTATCCTATGTGTGGTGATCACAAGGTTTGTATGTTATCAAGAAATGTTCTAGCTAGATTTAAGTGGAATAATTTCTGTTCTTGAGATGCAGAACTGGACTAACTCAGTGGGATCAAAGGAGATGTTTATAATTAAAAGACAGCACTGAGGAAGGCACATATATAGGAACCCAAAGTGTTGTTGAATCACTTTCTGTGACATGAACAGAAAAACACGTATATTTGACCTAGTTTGAGATTTTAAAAATCTGTTTAGGAAATGACCAAGTTTATGGGTAAAAGGATTCCTGTTAGCCCACATCTCACTTCAGCTCAAAGAACCTTTCCTTCTTTTCCTGGGCTCCCAAAGCAGTCAATAATCAGTGAGTAAGCAAGATTCTGACTAAAGTCAAATAAACCCTTTGGAAGGGCGTAGACATAAAAAGTACTAGACGTTGTCCCTGCCCTAGTCAGGTTTACAGTTTAGATGGGGATACAGAATATGTATATATGAACTGACATAAGAGAAATCATTACAAATTAGCATGCTGGTTGTGAGTACAAGTGCCCTCTTGAACTTAATGGATTAAAAAATGAACAGAGCTCTAATTTCCTGATGATGTAGGTGCTACTTGGAAAGTAGCCTGTGAGGTGGCACAGTGGATAGAGTGCCGGGCCTGGAGTCAGGAAGACTCATCTTCCTGAGTTCAAATCTGGCCTCAGATACTTACTAGCTATATGACCCTGGATAAGTCATTTAACCCTGTTTGCCTCAGTTTCTTCATCTGTAAGATGAGAAGGAAATGGCAAATCACTGCAGTGTCTCTGACAAGAAAACCCCTAACAGGATCACAAAGAGCCAGACTCGACTGAAAACAGGTGAACAAGAAACACTTGAAAAGTATTTACTACTGGCCTAGTGTTGACTCTGTCTTGCTCTCCATTCCATTTTATAGTACTTAGAACTAGATGAGGGGGCAGTTAGGTGGCGCAGTGGATAGAGCACTGGCCCTGGATTCAGGAGGACCTGAGTTCAAATCCAGCCTCAGACACATAACACTTACTAGCTGTGTAACCCTGGGCAAGTCACTTAACTCCCATTGCCCAACCAAAAAAAAGACAAAAACCCAAGAAGGAAATAAAAGTCCATAGAACTAGATGAAGAATAAATCCTTTATTGACTTAATAACTAATTTTTGGGGGGAGGTGAGTAGATGGTTAAGAGTTAGGTGGTTTTGAAAACAGAAAGACTCTGGAAAGAAGCCATCATGAGAGGAGCTGGCAGTCTCCATCATGTCCCTCTCCTTAGCTTAAGCTAAACTGAGACTTTATGGAATTTTCCCCTTGGATGAGATCTGGAACTCTCTCTTTTGGTCGAGCTAAGATACCTCACTCCCATTGGGAGACCTCCTTCACTGTTATCTGGTATATATTCTCATACATACACTTTGTCTGACTTCTATCCTGCTGTTGATGTGGATAAATGAGTTTTTTGCTTAAAAAAAAAAAGACATAGTGGTTTAATTGAAGTGGCTATTGTATATAAGTGTAGAGGTCAATGGAACCCTAGAGAACTCCAATGGCATTTTGAAAGTGTTGTTGTTGAATTGGTATAATCTTTGAGTAGATAAAGGCCAGTCCTGATACCATGATTTTGCTATTGCTGTCTTGGGACTCTTTTGCCTTTGGGGATAAAGCTTTTGCTTGGGCAAAAGTTATGCCTATAAATTGAGTACAGAAATCCTTAGAGGAGGCATTTACTCCCATTTAACAGCTGGGAAAGTAACTGAAGGGATCAGAGTTTGGAGTGGATTTTATACACCTTCCTTCCTGGAGGGCTTTAAAAATCCCACGGTCCTTAGCTGAGAACCCAGGACTAAAATTTTAAGGCAGGGACTGGACAAAATGATCTACTGAGCTATTATCTTTCACCTCCCAGCTGTGCTATCAATTAGCTTCATGACATTGCTCAAGTACTTAAAGCTTCTTGAGTCTCAATATCCTCAGCTATACAATGAGGAAGTTGGATTAGGCAATCTCTGAAGTCCCTCTCATATACTGTGATCCTATAATCTAAATACAGTCCAAGAGCCCCATCAGAAATGATATCCTTCCCATTTCCCACCAAAAAGTTTTAGATGACTACCTCACCACTGTTCTTCACTATTTAAATCCCAATGATATAAAGCAGCTGCCCCTACTTTCTCCCATTATCTCCCCTCTCCCTGGAGCCAGTTTGGATTCAGTCAGAGGGCCACATTTGAGGACCTAGAGGGTTATATGTGGCCTTGAGGCTGCAGGTTTCCCACTCCTGAAAAGGTCATAAATATTTCTCTGATTATAAGCTATAACTACCTGCTATTTGATAATGGGAACTGGAGAAACTTTTGGGCCATTTGATAAGCTATGAAATACTTCCTGGGGTTCTGTTGCCATAGCAACTGATGATCAAGAAAAGGAGGTATAAGGAACCCTGACTGCTGCTTCCTGTCTTGGACTGGATTCTGCCACTTTTCCCATATTTGTTAAGGTTCCCTAGGAAGTAAAGTCCACCATCGTCTTCTATTCGTTGGTGCCATACTGTTTGCCATAGATATCCAAGCACTGCTTTTCATCAGAGACCTCTGTTGACTGGGCCTTTGAGTCATCTTCAGCTTTCTTATCATTCTCCTGGTAGGTAATAAAACAAAGAAAAAAGTTACTATCCAGCACTGCATTCCTCCTTGGCTCTTGCCTTTCTGCTGAAGACTTTGTGAGTCAGTAATTTCTCAAATCCTTTCCCATCATCTCCCTTGCTTCCGATTATAATCTATCCCGTAGATCTCCATCTACCTCAGTGGAAGAGGAAGTGGGAAAAGGTATTCATTTATCCATAGTGGTAAGAGGAACTGGGAGAAAAAAGTCTGACTGTGGAAGATTAGAGAATTGTGCAGAAAGAGGGTGAATGCTATAAAGATAAAACAAAAAATTCTCCGAACAGTCCTGCTAGTTTAGACCTAAATCAACCAAACTTCTATTTTAAGCCCCTGTCAAGATGCTGCATACCTGATTTTGAGTTCTGTAGTATTCATTTAACAAATACTGATATTTGGGTTCATCAAGTCCAAGCAAAGTGGCTAACTTCCCACCTAGGAAGTCACATACTACAAGAAAGCAGAAAAACAAAAAACACTAGAGTTGGCAGGATTCATAAGGAGGGAAGCTTTGAGTGTATGTGGCTGAGAATTTGAAACTGCATAGAAGAGATAAACCAGTTTCTAGAGAGGGGTGCTTCTCTAGAAAGGACTTATATGGTTTAACTGTTCTTAATGCCATAGTCACTCCAGTGTGTTCTAGGGCTCAAAGGAAACTTCAGAGATCATGTGGTTCATCCCTTCTCGATTTAGGTTTTTATTTTTGGTTATACATATACAATCATGTTAAACATATTCCCATATTAGTCATATTGTGAAAGAAGAATCAGAACAAAAGAGAAAAATCATGAGAAAGAAAAAACCAAACAGACTAAAAGTGAAAATAGTACTCCATTTAATTTTTAAAGAGGGAGTAGAGAGGCAGGTAGGTGTTGCAGTGGATAGAGACCAGCCCTGGAGTCAGGAGGACCTGAATTCAAATCCGGCCTCAGACACTTGACACTTATTAGCTGTGTGACCCAGGGGAAGTCACTTAACCCCATTGCCTAGCCAAAAAAAAAAAAATGAGAAAGTTGGAGCAGATGGCTTCAACGGTCCCTACCCAGTCTTAGAAGCTGAAGAGTAGGTGCCATTCTACATTGATGCAAGGAGTTCCTCACTAGTAGCTCCCTGCATTAATAAAGTCACAGATCCAGAAGGGGGAAAAAAGATGTTATGGATGTGAACAGTTAAATTACATCTAATAATAACACAAATTTATGTAGCATTTTAAGGCTTACAAAGCACTTCCTATGCTTCAGAATTAAAGTTGCCTCACAAGCTCGTGAGGAAGGTGGTAAATTAATTATTATCCTCATTTTACTTATGAGAAAACTGAGGCTTTGAGAGGCTACATAACCTGTGCATGGTCACATGGCTAGTAAATATCTGAGGCAGGATTCAAACCCAGGTTATGTCTTCATAGTCCAGACTCCAAGTCCAGGTCTCTTTTCACTACTCCATGGTACCTCAGATCAGATAGATACATCTTTTATTCAATAAACAGTCAATTATCAAACATTTATTGATCATCTACTGCGTGCCAGGCACTAAGGACACAGTTACAAAAAAAAAATGAAACAATCCCTCCTGTAAAGCAGTTTACAGTCTATATATTTGTAGAATAATCATAATAAAAAAGATAAAAACAATAGCTAACATTTATATGATGGTTACCATGTTCAGGCACTATGCTAAGTGCTTTACAGATATCTCTTTTGATGCTCACAACATCTCTGGGAGTAGCTACTCTTATTATTCCCATTTTATAGATGAGGAAATTGAGGTTAAGTGACTTCCTCACGATCACAGACAGTAAGTGTCTGAAGTTGGATTTTAACTCAGATCTTCCTGATTCTAGGCTCAGGCTCTATCAACCTAGCTACCAAAAAACAAAAACAAAAACAAAAAACCACAAACCCAATCTTCCAGAGAAGAAAAATCCCCCTTTTCACTCAGTTATCCATTCCAGTGCTTAACAATACTCACCATCGGGTAGTTCTTCATATGTGTAACCATAAGCCACTTTCTTCTTCCTCTGTTCTCAATCAAGATGGAGAACAGCAAGATAGGATTACTCACCCATCTAATTGTTGACACATTTAAGGCCCAAGGTTTAAATTAAGTGGAAAGCAAAATAAAAAGGAATTCTAGGAGTTTTCAATATGGAACAAGAATTTTAGGATTCCTACAGAAAAATTTCACTCTATAATTTTAGGATCAAAGCCTCTTCTGAATAACATAATGCTGGGGTGATCCTGGTAGTATTTTATACTGCAGGTGTTTAGTTTGCTTAATTAGACTATAGATTGCTATAGGGTATATATTTCCATTGCAAGATCTGTTACTGAGTGGTATCTGTCAGTAAAGTGATATCTGGCCAAATGGCAGAAGCTAAATAAATAAATGCAGAATGGAAATTTTTAAATGAAAGTGAAAAATGTAAAAGTTTTATTTCACTTTCAAGATTTTCTAAGGAAATTCTCTGTCTCTCTCTCTGTCTCTGTCTCTCTCTCTCCACACACACACACACACACTCACTCACTCTTTCTCCCTCTCCTCTCCTTTCCCCTCCCTTCCCCTCTTCTCCCTCATACACACAAACACATTCATACATACACATTCTCACTTTGTCTCTGTTTATCTGTCTGTCTGTCTCTCTCTCTCTCTCTCTCTCACACACACACACACACACACACACACACACACACACACATTCTCCGTCACACACATTCTCTCTCCTGTCTCTTTGTTTCTGTCTCTGTCTGTCTCCTCTCCTCTTTTCTCTTCTCTTGCTCTCTCTCGATCTCCCTCCTCCAACCCCACCCTTCATGTTTTGAAGACATATCCAACTGAAGCTTACTGATTGTGATCATTTTTAGGGGAAAACAACTCAAAGTAACAATCAAGTTATTGGTTATTCTAAGTCACAATTTGGTCCGTGTCAAAAAGAGAAATTGTCATCTTGAAGAGCTAAAATGAAGGCACTTACTGGAAAATGTAGCACTTGTCATTCTTATAGCCCAGAATCTCAAGTATGGCCCCCATGGAAGTTTAGTCTGAAAACCAACAAACAAATGAAATTGTGACAGTGATTAACAGAAAAGCCCAAGGATTTCAGAGAACTGTTTCTTGTAGAGATTTCACAATGCTATACCGCACTAACTAAAAAACATGTAGCAAACTCAGGTTTGCTTAATCTTCACTCTCTCCTATGTCCCAGTGCCTTTCTATAACCAGGGGTACTTTATAGTGAGCTGCTTTCACTTATCATTTTACAGAGAAGGTATCTATACACGATTAAATGATTTCACTCAAAGACACAGAAATGGATCTAGGTGACAGAGATTTTTGTAGTACAACTCCACTCATTTTATTTTTAGATGTTTCACTGATACTTTGAAAAATTAGCTTTAACATCACCCCTTACCCCACAACAGAATGCCCTATTCACTAGGTGAGGATTAACTTTTTGTGTGTCATGCACACCTTATTGAAGGAAATGATACATTTCAGTTAGAGCTTAGCAAAAATAAAAATATGATTTATTCCCATTCAGATTCACAGATCCCCAGAAATCTAGTCCATGGATGCCAGATTAAAAGCCCATACTTGAGAGCAAGGTCTTGTGTGAGCTGTTCTAAGTCATGAAAACCAAGTTCAAATCCTGCCTTTCACACTTCTAAGCAATGTGATGAGGGACAAGTTACTTAACTTTCTGAACTTTCATTTTCTAAACTATCAAATGGGTATAATACTGCTTACCTCGAAGAGCTGTGAGGATCAAATGAGATAATGTAAACAAAGCAGTTTACAAAATATATAATGTGCTCTCAAAAATCAGATATTCTTATTAGAATTATTTTCCAGCTAATGGTTTGGCAAATGGCTACTGTCCCTTTACCTATCACCCATATGGATCTATGGACTTACAGTATCAAGTGTTGGAGTACTCTTTAATTCTTCTTTCTCATCATCTTCTTCTTCTGTGCTATATTCATCTATAGTGTCTCCATTTGCAAAGTGGATTATCCTTTTGGGGATAATTCTTTTGGTAGTTTCTCTCTTCTCCAGTCCTGACTTTGGGAAACCATCCTCCTTCCCCATAAGAGAAACAACAACAATAACAACAACAAGAGATAAAGTGAATAGAGGAAAGGATCTTGTTAAGTTTATCTACTCAGAACAAGAATAAGGGATGTTTAGCTCAGTGCTGTGTAACCAGCAAGTTCTTCATAAATATCAATGAAGGATAAGTCCAGCCAGAAGAAGGCTGAAGACAAGCATTACCTGATTGTGTGGTATGGTTTCATCAATTCCAGGTAGAGTCAAGTCCCAGTTTGCTGCAGAAAGGAACAGTCAGAATAATCTGAGCCACCCAAGCAATCCTTTAAGGGCCACTTCTTCCTTTCATTATTTTCAAAACAAATCTCCGATAAAGAGTGGTCTCTTCTCTTTGTAGCCACGAAACCTTGCAGATTGCTTATGTGATACATATACCAATGGTAGCAAATAATATATCACAAGTTTTAGGACTACATGGACACCACACAATCGAGCCCATTCAAATGAGATCATATTTGTATAGTGCTTAGCACAGTGCCTGACACATAGTAGGTGCTTAATACATTCTTGTGTCCATCTCCCACTTCATGATGAATTCCTTTTGTGGCACTGAATCTATGCCATTTTCACAACAGTCTTTGTAAAAAGCTTAACAAAGCCTGAAATTCTCTCTTTCTCTCTCTCCTACTCCCTCTCCCTTTTCTCTGTCTCTTTTCTCTCTGTCTTCCTGTCTCTGTCTCTGTCTCTCTCCCCCTCCGTTTTCTCTCTCTGTCTCTCCGTCTGTCCCCTTCTCTCTTTCTCTCTGTCTGTCTCCCTTTTCTCTCACTCTCTTCTATCTATCCCCTTTTCTTCTGTGTGTCTGTCTGTCTGTGTCTCTCTCTCTCTCTTGCTAGAGCCAGCTTAAACTGGCTTGGGCCAAATTTGAAATGTTCATTGTGAGCATTTACACCTCAAACTACAAATCAGGGCTTGATTTATTGTTTTATTGATTTCTAGACTTAAGAAGGTGATTAAAAAAAGCAATGTTAATAATCCATATCAAACTTTAAAATATATTGTGGGTACATATTTTTCCTGGTGAGCTGGTTCTTAAATATTTAGCAACACACAATTACATACCTCCCCTAGTCCTGAAGTTCCTTTAAGAATGTTAGAATGAGAACATACAAGATATTTCCCACCTTATCCCACTGGGCATCAAAGTATCATAAAACTGATGGAAGAAATTTGAGCAGGAGTTTGTATGTATGGGTATTGTGGAGAACGGTGGGAATTGACCTATAATTTTTATCACAGAAAGCCTAACAGCCTCAAATTTTAAAAAATTTACTTTGATAACATTTAGCACTCACACTATGCAAAGTATATTAGCTTCCATTTGCTCCATTCTTTAAAAAATATGCAAAGTATAACTGATTAATAATAAACATTGCATTTTGATGATGCTTTATAGTTTTTGAGATATATTATTATTGTTACCATCTCGTTAATTCTTTTAACAATTCCATTATATAGGCAAGGGATTATTTTCCCCATTATATAGCTAAACCTCAGTTGGTCCTGAATCTTAGAAAGGTTGTGACTTGTTCAATGTCACAAAGTCAGAAAATGGAAGAAAAAGGTCCAAAACTCAGGTCCTTTATTTCTAATTCCTGTGCTCTGCCATCAAATTCATTAGCTATTACTTGAAGCTTTGTCATCTATAATTCGATAAGCATGCCATCTATTCATTTATCCAAGTCACCAATAAAAATGAGAAAATAGCACAGAAATTTATCTACTATGCCTTAATAAAGTTACCACAGAACCTTGTTGGTTTTTAAAAACCACAAACTCTTTAAAAGCAACTCACCTGCAATATCTCTTTGGCATTTTCCATTTTTTCACCAAGTCATATTTAGTACTGAAGGCTATAATACTTTGGAGCTGGACCTTGCTTTTGGAGTAGATGACATGAAATAAACTAGACCCAGGCCATGTTGCATGATTAAATGTGCTCTGACGTGGAACTTTTTCCCTCTCATGCATGCGTATTAAAAGGCAGGATCTGTTTGAGTTATAGGCAGGTCTTCTGCTATTTAAACAGTCAACATTCCTTTTTTTCCCCTGTTTAAACATTCAACATTCCTTTTTTTTTTTTCTTCCCTATTCCCTATCAGTTAGCTAGGGGTAATTGGAACCAAAAGAGGCTTGGAAATGGATATGGTAATGTTGAAAGTTAAAACTTTCAAGGTAACTCTTTTACTATCCTTATTATCCTATAAGATAGATACATGAGTGAATAGCTCCAAGTCAGAGAACATTTAAAGGCACAAAAGGTCTGAGTTAAGACTGAAATTCTAAAGTTCCAGTGCAGTCAGTGTATGTTTCCCAAGGCCACTTCTAAGCCAGTTTTATTATATCAAGCCATTCATATCTAACAGTTATAACTACTTCTAGGTCCAAAGGGCGGGGGCACTGTGTCTTCTCTCTCTCTCTACTAAGGGACCTGTCTGTCTCACTTCTGGATACCTGCATATGGTATAGGATATTGTCCCTAACTTACCAGATTCAGTTCTGGAGGAGCCTGGCTGTAATAAGAGGACTTAGACTCCTTTTCTCATTCTCTTTGACTCTTTACACTCCCTCCCTGGCACCCTAGGGAAAATTACTTGTAGTTTAGGTATGGCTTATGTCTAGGTTTTCTCCAACATAAAGGGGAAAATTTAGACAAGCAGCCAGAACATAACTACTGTTATATTTTCCTGGGAGGTTAAGGTGTAAAACTGTCAGCTCATAAAGCATTTTGCAGGACTGCAAAATAAATCAGTATTTCCTAGTTCACATTGGTTCTGCATGTTCCAAACAACCTCTTCCAGATCTGTGTCTTCTGGAAAGTGAGTCCAGGGATTTTTCCCCTGTCATTGGTATCCTCCTTAATGCAGAAAATCCTCCTGTAGCGAATCAACTTTGATTAAGGGGCCTAGAATCTTTGAGATGCCTACAAGGGGGTAGTTGTCATGTTAGGGTTGGTGTCGGGGAGGTTAAAAGCAAGAAAAAAGGTAGCATCATTTTTCTCCCCACTCTTCCAGATATCGACTCAAGTAGTCCTGATACAATCTAAAAATGGGAAGAGACAGTCACCGTCTTTTGAAAACCCACTGACTCAGTGGCTTTTCTTGCTTAGTGGATAATAAAGGGGTGGGTTCATCATTCCAAAAGGTCCAAGTTCTGAAAGTGGCTAGGATGCAGGTTCAGCATGGGTTTACTCCAATCCAACCCCTACAACACATACATTTCTAGTCCTGATAATAAAACTATTATTATATTATTAAAGATGGTACAAAGTAATACCATCTATTAGTGGAAGAAAAACTGCCACTGGAAAACCAAGTCATTTTTTAGTGCCTAGTGGGGAAAAAGAATGTGTAAGTTTATTGTTGTTTAAAAATTAAATTAAGGGATTTGTAGGGATTACAAAGGAACGAGGGAGTCTCAGAACTAGTTTATATTTAAGCCATGTTGAATGTTCTTCTGCCACTTAATGGGCCACTTGGGAATGTACCAGAGCACAACTGTACTAAGCTATGTAGTACAAGCAATTGATTGTATAAGCAAGTTCTTACTATGAGAAATACCCATGTGTCATATGATTTACATGTTTATCCAAAAAACTCCTGCACTTGTTACCATTTGCCAAACCATTAAGGGGTTTGAAAATTTGACATTATTGCTTTTAAAATAGTCTTAGGGACCTTTTAAAAAATGTTTATTTATTTTTAGTTTTCAACATTCATTTCCACAAGATTTTGAGTTCCAGATTTTCTCCTCATCTCCCCCCTCCCCAAGATGGCATGCATTCTGAATTCCCCTTCCCCTAATCTGCCTTCCCTTCTATCACTGCCCCCCCCCTTTCTCTTATCCCCTTCCCCTTCTATTTGCCTGTAGAGCAGGATAGATTTCTATACCTCATTGCCTGTATATCTCATTTCCCAGTTGCATGTGAAAACAATTTTTAACATTTGTTTTTAAAGCTTTGGGCTCCAAATTCTTTCCCTTCCTCCCTCTCCACCCACCCTCATTGAAATGGCAAGCAACTCGATACAGGTTATTCATGTGTAGTCATGCAAAACACTTACATAGTTGTCATGTTGTGAAAACTCTATTCCCCTTCATCCTATCTATTTTATTCTATTCTCTCTTTTGACCCTGTCCCTCCTCAGAAGTGTTTTCTTCTGATCACCTCCTCCCCCAATCTGCCCTCCCTTCTATCATCCCCCTCCTCTCTTACCCCCTTCCCCATTATTTTCCTGTAGGGTAGGACAGATTTCCATACCCAATTGAGTGTGTATGTTATTCCCTCCTTAAGCCAAATCCGATGAGAGTAAGATTCGCTCATTCTCTCTCCCTTTCCCCCGTTTCCCCTCCACTGTAAAAGCTTTTTTTGTCTGTTTTATGTGAGATAATTTACCCCATTCTACCTCTTCCTTTCTCCTTCTCCCAGTATAATCCTCCCTCACCCCTTAATTTTATTTTTTAGATATCATCCCTTCATCTTCAACTCACCCTGTGCCATCTATATCTATCTATCTATCTAATCTATCTATCTATCTATCTATCATCTATCTATCTTATCTAGCTAGCTAGATAGCTATTTTTTTCTTAGGGACCTTTTGTAAACAGTACATCCAATAGCTAGATGTGGACAGGAGACTAAACATCATTCTTTGGGCTGCTTTGGGACGTGTATTTAAGCTAAATTTTGTGTTCACCTCCACAATGAGTGTCTTAAGGGTCTCCAGACAATACATTCTCTTTATTTGATATCTTCCAAGTGACTAATTTAAATAGGTATTTCCTTCATTAGGGAGGTTATCAATTTCATTAGGGAGATAAGTTTCATTCATTGGATCTATGACATTATCAATATGGCTATTCTCTCCTCTGGTGTAGCTCTGAACCCATCCATCTTATAGAGCCTCTTTTGAATGTTTAGCCTATGGACTAAAAGCCTTTCACTAGGTTTTTATTCTTATATCTCACAGGGATCAGAATAATACTTTGCTGTCTATTTGTCTGTGACATGGTCAACAGAGTGCCAGACTTAGAGTTAGGAAGACTGGGTTTCAAATCCTACTTCTAACACCAGCTGTGTTAACAGGAAAAAGTCATTTAAACTCTCTGGGCCTCAGTTTCCTCATCTGTAGAATGAGGGAGATTGGATGAGCTGGCTTCTGAGACTCCTGTAAGTTCCAAATCTATGATCCTATCTATGAAGGACTTTATCACCTTCTCTACTTAGTTTTTTTCCTACATGACCAATTTCATTTCCTTCTCCAATTATAAATTTCTTTAATGTTATGCATTATGCTACTTCATGAGTTCAGGCCATTGTTGGAGATACATATACATATACATATCTATGTGTATATGTATGTGTATATGTGTATGTGTATGTATATGTATATATACATGTGTGTGGGTGGGTAGGTGTGGGTGTGGGTGTGTGTAGAGAGAGAGAGGGAAAGAGAGACAAAGAGACAGAGACAGAGACAGAGTTTTAGCTATTACTGTAAAACGAGAAGTTGTTTTGTGTGCTCACCAAAGGAATTTGTTTATTATGGAAGTTGTCCTGTGCAGGATACAGATGGAAGACACATGTCCAAGAAGTGATGATTTCATTCAAATAGTCCAATTTGCAGATTGCACGAAATCCAAGAATATTATAAGGCCTCAATGAGATCTATGATTACTCAAGAGAAATGTCTAAGACAATAACAGTTTCTATCAGATTTCATGGGCATTTACCTTGAGCACTTCCAGTGCTCTGTAAGTCACATGCAACTTTGAATGTAAAGAGATTATGGCATTACAGGATTCACATCATCACCAGGAGAAAATTTCATGTTAAAAAGATGGATTTTTGTCCCTGAGATCGTTAGAATCATTGACACAATTTCCCAAATACAATCCATTCTGCTTTCTCTTAGTTGAGTTCTGTGCCCAACTCATTGTCTCTTCACAAGGCCTATCCCAGATTCACACACTGATTTACTAACTGAATGAATTGGCCATTAAACTGCATACCTTGGAACATACAAAAGACATTTTTCATTCATTTAGTTCATACGATTTCACGGGTTGAAATCTGATGGAGATTGCTATTTTCCTTTATTGAATACTGAACATTTGTGCCTTCTCAGCCCTAAGGTGCTTCTCTCTTTCTCAGCATGTATGTCCGCCAGTTCTTCTTCTTCTCCTTCTTTTTTGGCTAGGCAATGGGGTTAAGTGACTTGCCCCGGGTCCCACAGCTAGTAAATGTTATGTGTCTGAGGCCAGATTTGAACTCAGGTCCTCCTGACTCCAGGGCCAGTGTTCTATCCACTGTGCCACCTAGCTGCCCCTGCCAGTTCTTTTAATACCGTTGGATGCAGTTTATCTGGAACTAGTGACTTGAACTTGGGAACATCGAAGAGGTGACATGGGCTGGGATGTAAAATGCATGAAAGGAAGTAATCAATCAATCAATCAACATTTATTAAGCTCCTACTATGGGCTAGGCCTATGAAATTAGTCTGGAAAAGTAGATTAATGTTAGACTGTGGAGAGTTTTAAATGCTAAAATGCTTGCATGTTGACAGTGACACTTGTTGTTCAGTCGTGTCCGACTCTTGGTGACCCCACTTGGGGTTTTCTTGGCAAAGCTACTGGAGTGGCTTGCCATTTCCTTCTGCAGCTCATTTTACAGATGAGGAAATGGAGGCAAACAGGGTTGACTTGCCCAGGGTCATACTTCTAGTAAGTGTCTGAGGCCAGATTGGAAGTCAAATCTTCCTGACTTCAGTCTCAACATTCTATCTACTGCATCACCTAGCAGCCCCTCAATAGGAAGCCACGAAAGACATTTAAAGAAGGTGATATGGTCAGAACTGTATTTTTAGGCATGTTAATTTTGCAGATGGGTGCATGGATTTAAGAGGGGATTACTTGGAAGCAGGAAGACCAGTAAGGGGGAATTGTTTCATCCTTTGTATTAGTATACACAGCACAATACCTGGCACATAGTAGGTATGTAAAAGATACTTGATTGATTAGGGATAGTGAAGTTCAGAAAAGTGATTTAATTAATCCCAGAGCTGCTAATGCTTTAATTCAGTACTCCTTAGTCCTAATCTAGTCTTCTGGAAAGGTCTGAGAAAGGAGGAGAAGGCTTTAGATGACCAAATAGTGTCTATGGCTCCTTCCTGCTCTAAATCCTATGGTCCTAGAAGTGAGTTTTTTGTGCCAATGTATAAAATGACTAGAATGCAGCAATTGACCCTGGACAAGTCTCTTAACCCTGATTTTCTCAATTCCTCATCTGTAAAATGAGCTAGAGAAGGAAATGGCAAACCACTCCAATATCTTTGCCAAGAAAACCTCAAATGGGGTCATGAAGAATCAGATACAACTGAACAACAAAAAACTGTGTCATGCACTGAGTTATGCGCTGGGGATAAAAAGACAAAAACGAAACATTCACTGCTTTCAGAAAGCTCACATTCTATCAGGGAAGGCAACATGTACATATTAGGTATATGTAGAATACAAAACCAAAGGTATTTAGGGAAGGACAGCATGAGTGTTTGAGGGGAGAGGTCAAGAAAGGCTTCATATGTTACCTAGAGAGGTGTGAGCTGCGTCCTGAAGAAGGTGAGAAGGTACGAAGGGTGTGTACTTCAGATGTGGGTGACGTCCAAAGAGAAGGAAGATATAATGCCATATGTGGGCAGGTGGCTAGTGTTGTGAGTTCAAATCTGGCGTTACACTTACTAGCTGCGTGACCCTGGGAAAGTCACTTCAGTTTGCCACAGTTTTCTCATCTGTAAAATGGAGAAGGAACTGGCAAACCACTCCAGTTCCTTTGCCAAGAAAACCCCAAATGGGGTCACCAAGAGTCATACACAGCTGAACCAACCAAACGTGTGAGGAGCAGAGAAAGCCAGTTTGGTTGGACTGTAGTGGGGAAAGTAACACATGAGGCTGAAAAAACAGGTTGGAGCCAGATCTTGAAGGGCATTAAAAGCTAAACTGAGTTTATATTTGATCTGAAAGCTAATAGTGAGCTGAAGTTTATTGAGCGGGGTTTGACACACCTGTGTTTTAAGGAAAATCACTTTGGCAACAGTTGGGAGGTTGGACTGAAGGAAGAGATGAGGCAGAGAGGCCAGTACAGGTGATAGGGGCATGAAAACTAAAGTGGTGACAGCGTGAGTAGTGGATAAAATAGACATTATGGAGGTAAAGAATATAAGATTTGGCAACTGATTGGACATCACCCAATCCAGATCATAGTAGCTATTGTCTATTGTGTGGCAGATGAGGAAAAGAGAGGAATTATGAGGTTATAAGCTGGGGAGACTTGAAGAATAGTGGTGCCATTTGACAAATATGTAAATTCAGTAGGACTGATTTGGGAAGGAAAATTGAGTTGTTTTGGACATGTTGAATTTGAGATATCTATGGGACATCCAGTTTGAAATGTCCAATGGGCAGCTGGTGATGCAGTACTGGAGCTAGAGAGAAGCTGTGGCTGAGTATATCAATGTATGAGTTATCTGCACAGAGATGTTAATTAAACTCACAAAAGCTCACAAGGCCTACAAGTATAGAGATGGACAGAGCCTTGGGGTACACCTCATTTACAGGGTATAATATGAAGTGGTAGTAAGGTGTGGGACAGCCAAGAGAGTAGTGTCACAGAAACTCAGAGAAGAAACTACCCATGAGAAAGGGGTGGTCAACAGACTCAAATACTACAAAGAAGTCAAGAAGAAAACTGAAAAGGGATTGATAAAACTTAGGGAGAGAGAAATAACATGTTATTATATTATACATATGTTATTATAATATAAATTGAGGAATGCCAATTTTTACATCACGTTAGTGAAACGTATCTAGGTGATGGTGAAATCCAGGGTATGACCACCAATACATATAGCTGAAGTCCTACATGGAAGAGTTCTCAATTTAGTCAAAATCCCACCTACAATGTCTTTCCTGGTCCCACTTCATGCTACTGACTTCACTCAGAGACCACCTCCAATTTGCTCTGTATACATCTTGTTTCTCTCATTAGAATGTAAGCTCCTTGAAAGCAAGATTGCTTAGTGCCTTTCTTTGTATCCCTAGCATTTCGTATAGTTTCTGGTACATAGCAGGTGCTTGATAAATGCTTGTTGACTGATGAGGTCATGGGATTTGAAGAGACTGAATGGGTAGATTAAGGTGTTCCAGGGAGCATTCAACATGTTGAAGTCCCCTAGTATAATGGCAGAAGACAGTAAACCAAGTACTGTACTTTTTAAGAAAGGAGGAATGATCTGAGGAATGATATAACAGCCACCAAGATCTGGATTCAGTGATAAGTTTGTATAAAGTAAACTTCAAAGCAGAGGTTACTGAATGATGGCAACAAAGGAAGGGTCAGCATGGTGGTGGTGGGAGAACTTTAGTTAGGACCAACTGGCTGGTGCTGAGATCAGGTCTCCTCTTTGTCCAACTAGGCAGGAAGATAGGTGCTGAGACTAGGACCCCCTCCTCCAGTAAGAAAGGCAACCGGTGACAAATTTTCAATTTCCTATTCAGATATCTTACTTACAATTTACAAGCAAAGCTCTTTCACATTTTCTTGGTATTTTTTATTCTTGGCACTCAAGACTTCATGCTGCTTTCTGTTTATGTACTAAATTATCTACAGATATGCCCAATCAACTACTGTGAAGTAGGAATAAGATGGTCTGCCCTGTTAAAAGATTCAAAATTCATCAAGAAATTAATTTATGCTCTGTGAAAAGACAAAAAATTTTAAAATGGCAGCATCTCATATACACCTCTTCAGGGTAAAACAAGCACTAGCCTCAGTAGTTTTCATATGTGATTGAATAAACTGCTCTGATTATTAGCATGAGCTCTTTTGAAGTCTACACTCTATTAAAACATGTTACTGAGGTTAGCAAGTTAAGTAAAAATAGAACTCTTCAGACAGAGATTAAGATTATCCAAGGTGGCACTACAAATTTATTTTTTGAAAAGCGTAAAATATACACTAAAGATATTTTCGTCTGAACATTAATTGTATCCTAATGTGACCAGTACAACAAAGAGAAAAGAATAATTACAAGCACTTTTATATAGCACTGGAAATACAATATTAATTTTGTAAAGTGCAAAGTTTGCTGCACAACATTGTAGAAATGATGGTAAGTTTTCTTTCTGGCCATGTGCTCAGAATACTGCATCATATTACATATGCTACATATTAATACCAGCTATAGACCCAGGCCAATTCTACCAAGATGGGCAGATGAAAACTCATCATATCAAAGAGTGCATGCAGACATATATAATTAAAACAGAATTAAATAGTGCATGAAATCAAGTAACATTAAACTGATACAATGACTATATGTATATATATATACCCACATTATATATATACCTTTTAAAAACTTTACTGTGAAAAATCATGATTTTGTTGCACATTAGGTATCTTATTAACTTAGTATAAGCATAAATATTCAATGTGAAATAGAACTTAAAATCCTAAAGAACTTGATTTGTAAAATTTCTCTTCTTAAAAAAGGGTGGGTGGCACAGTAACTGCCTATAGAATCAATGCCTTCAGTATAAGACAGTTACAAAAGACCAGAACTGGCTTAAATCAGACAATAATTAGGTGGAACAGCTAACAACATACATGCCTAACCTTCATGTAATCCCTTCGCCTTTATTTTTAAAAAAATCTCTAAACATGATGTCGAAATTTTATGATAGAAGATTCTAGCTGTAAGTCAGCTTTAAAGAGGACATTCATTTCCTACCCTTTACAAAGCTGCCAATCATTAATCTTGGTATTTACAATATCTTACAAAAAAGAAATGACACATTTTATGCATGGGAGGAGGAATCATATAAAACGTTCAGTATGAAAAATGAAAAAAACTAGGGTGAAATGCACTAATACATAAAATACATGAAAAAGTTCTACGTGCAGAGCACAGCAAATGTTAGTGTTAGGCTTGACTACCACAGTCAATGATATATGAAACATTAATGTTTGATCAGTATGGCTCACATCAAACCTCTGGTAACTTTCTCAAAGTAAAACATACACAAACAGTTCAAAACCAAAAAGGTTTCTGTACATATATATAGTGATGCACCATTTAGTAAAGTGTTAAAACGGCGAAATAATCAAATGTTACAAAGGAAGGAATTAGACTAAATGATCCATTTCTAAGGTCTTTTTCTAGATCTAAATTTCAACGACCGACACTTTATGTAAATATCATTACTTAGATACACTAACTTTGCTTTGCTTGGAGCTCTCTAATTTACAGACGGTTCACCTTTTATCTAACTCCTTGCTCTCTCAGTCCTGAAATATTCTCTCGAAGAAAGCAATACTAAGGTCTAACTGGTCATGATGTCAGTCTTTCCAATATTCCCAACAGACCCATGGGCAGTCATCTGATTTCCTGACATACCTAAGGACCTCTGGGCTGTGTCATCCACTTTGCTGAAGCACCCTTAAGACTTCCAGCCCTTTCCTTCTGCCCTGCAGGGGAACTTTCTTTTATATACTGTCTCCTTCACTAAGTGTGAGCTCCTTGAGAGTTAGGACTGTCTTTTTTTTTTTTTACTTGTATCTTTAAAGGTGCTTAGCACAGTGCTCAATGGGTAGTAAGCACTTAATTAATTCTTTTTATTCATTCATTCTGACATGATATATAGACTATTATTGAAAGCCTTATGAAGAGAACATATTCAAGTCCAAAACCAACTGACTTGGACACTTTGAAACAGAAATAAAAGGTAACCAGTGTAATTCCAAAGAGGTAGTTCTTCAAGCTTCTAAACATTTTCTGCATTATTGTATGGCATATAATTTCCAAGGGCTAATTTCTTTTTACCTTCTTTCATATAGATATATAAAGCTTGTTACACACAAATTAGTTCCTTAAGTCACATAAGCTCTCTAAAAAGGGATTTAAAATAAATATTCATTCCAAGAAAGTAAAGCCTATGTTAACTAGAAATAAAATTCAGACTTATCTTAATGTTCTAACATGTACACTGCAATTCTAGTTTTAAAAATATTAATGTTAGGCAAATATGTATCAAGGAGCCTAACTACTAATAATTTTCAGATTCTTCCATAATATAAAAGTTGTTTCACATGAGAAATAATAAATGGCTTGGGAGTGTTACAGGTTTGTGCCATGATACAATATAGCCATAAGGAAGCAAGAACTGTTTTTTTCTTTGTCGACTCTTATCTGTACCTCTCCTCTAATTTCAATGACAGATGGGAAATGAAAACAAATCTTCTTGTGACAAGGAGAAATGATTCTTTTTTATAATTTAATATATTAAACTGAAACCTATTACTACTCTAGAGCTCTCCAAAAAACACTCTTCCCATATCTTCAAGTCAAAGTAAGGTCTGTAAGAAGCTAGTCTAGTGAACTGACTAAAGTGGACACAGAGAAATAAAGCACTAAAAAAACCCCACCCTATTAAAAAGTGAGTGTTGAAATAGTTGAAGACCCACGAAAAGAAGCAAATTACTCTTCAGTCTCCCGAGGAATCACAAAAAAGAATCCAGTCCCAGAGTTAACCCAATCCACTTAAGAGAGGAGTTTCCTGTTTCTATGGCCTTCTAGGAAATATGGCAGCCACTATCCTTCTGTGGTTTGATATCTGGTTCTTTGACTGGTTTCAATTCTTCCTCTGGTTTGGGTTTGGCCTAGAGGGAAGGACAAAGAGTTAAGAATATCTGAGGCAAGGCTTTGGAATCTAAAATAAATTAATTTTTCTGAAGATAGCATATTTTTTTTAATGTGACAGTGTAAGTACTGGCAAAGTTGGTCAGACTACTACACATCTAATTTAGAAAGTATCATTTTTGCTGAAGAAGAAATTCTGGAATGGTACATTAGGTAATAGATCTGTCTGTATCACTTATTTTCATTCTTCTTGTGAGAAGGAAGGAAATAAAGGAGCCTTGACAACAACAATCACTAGCATTTATATAGCACTTTAAAGCTTTACAAATATTATTTCATTTTATCCTCACAACCATTCTGGAAGTAGATGCTACTATTACCCCCTGAGGCAGGCAGAAGTTAAGTGACTTGCCCGGGGTCACAGAGCTTGTAAGTATCTGAGGCAGGACTTGAATGACTCAGACCTTCCAGAGTCTAGGCTCAGTGCTCTATCCATGGAGCCAATTAATTGCCTCCAAATACAAAAAGCTAAATAGTCCTTTCCCCCTAAGGAGCTCATAGTCTAGCTAATTGCCATCAACAGAGAGACCTCAAGTTTGGAAGTAACAAATTCCCACATTATTTTGATGTCATTAAAAGAGCTTTATGTTGCAGCAAGCAAGTGGCTAACTAAGCAAAACAGAAAGAAGGCTATTTTACAGAGTTATTTTGACTGTGCAAGAGTTTTAACTCAAACCCAAGAAAGGCAAAATGGCTCTGAAAGAACAAAGGGTTCCCACTTCTACCTTTCACAAATCCCTAATAATCTTTCCCATAAATCTCTAATCATCTCATGCCAAAATTCAGGCTTTCCATTTACATTATCACCTTCATAAACCAAAATGCACTAAGGCTACTGAGAAATAAATGAATAGCAGTATATTTTACACCTTGATTATTTCCTAGAATGCTAAAATTAAGACCATATCTTCAAATATTCAATGAAATGGTCAATGTAAAGTGTGGAGCTCTATTGCAGAATCATATATTAATCTACTCCATTCTTTTAAGAGATTTAAGATACCACTACCACTCTTGTGTCTGATCTTAAAGCACTGTTTACAGACTTAAAAAAAAAAAGATAGGTATTACTTTGAGAATATTTACTTCTATGGATTCAGGAGCAAATATCTGGAAATTTTTCCAGAATGAAACAAATACTGCAGAGCCTTCCTGAATATTAGAATAACTCCAAATGGAAAGCACTAAATTAGCTAATTTAATAGTCACTGCTCTCAAATAAACCTCTATCTTTGCAAACAGGGAAAATAAAGATATTGAAATAAACTCTATAATCTTTATCTTAATTTTAAAAGAGAAATGGAAGAAATAAAACAGAATAAAGCTTATACATTATCATCCTTTGGCCTCTTGGTGAGATCAAATGCAGCTAGTATTTCTGGTGTCCAGTGTGCATTCAGAGGAGGAAATTCAAAGGCTACAGGCTCTACAAGGCCATAGTTTGCTTTGAGTTCAAGTTGTGGTGCTTCTGTTGGAACTTTTTGGAAATATCTATAAAAGAAAATTTAAACAACAATTTAATGCCAAGTTTCTCTTAAAAGAGACCAGGGATACATAATGACCCATCTCAACCACTTCTCTTCACCTATTAACAATGAATCTTTTGGGTATCAGCTGATTCCAAAAAGGATTATTCTCACCTAAACAGTTTACTGAGATAAAGTCAACTCCATGATAAGATTTTTTTCCCTGACATATAGTAGGCATCTCGTAAATGTTCTTTGATTGACTTGTGATTGATACTGTCTGTTGTGTTCTTTAGAGGTTCTTAGTAATATCAAAATAATGTTTCCTAAAACCAGGCAAACTGACAAGTTTTACTGTGTTAATTATTTTGTTCCAAAGGCTGTTAAAGGGGGCAGCTAGGTGGTGAAGTAGATAGAGCACCGACCCTGAAGTCAGGAGGATCTGAGTTCAAATCTGACCCCAGACCAAACACTTGACACTTACTAGCTGTGTGACCATGGGCAAGTCACTTAACCCCAACTGCCTAAAGAACAAACAAACAAAAAAAACCAAAGGCTGTTAAAGATTTTAGTTAGAATTTTTCTTTTTCTTTAAAAAAGCTCTATTGATAAATGAATAGTTTCTAATGAAGACGGTAAAATAAACAAAGAAATGTTAACAGAAGTATATCCTCACTAGTCATCACTGATAAACATTAGCTAAATTTATTAGAAATGAGTGATACATCAAAAATAGAGGCCAAGGTAAAAACATTTTAGGTGTGGCAAACTATAGTAAATATATAATTACGTTGTTCTCCAGTTAATTCTAGAAGTGAGAAAGTCTGTAGTGCTTTATGGATCATTCTTCATGCAGTATTTAAAAGTCAGCCTGATAAGGCTGGGGAAGAGGACTGAGAGAAAAAAATGGTTTTCTACCTTTAGATAAGACACAAAGGCAGATATAAGATGAGTGGAAAGGTGGATTAATAGATGTCTGGGGGTAGTCTAGTAAGTAGAATTATTATGTCCTCTCCCTTAGCTAAAATCATATTACTTAAGGAACAGAACCACCTGAAGATGCAAAATACTTAGGTATTACAAAATTTATACATTTTCAAGGGAAAAAAAGGAATTAAGACAAAAATTAAGGTTACTCTACATGCAAACACATTTTTATGTAACCTAATTAAATACAAAAGAAAACAAAGATTCTGATACACAGACATCTACACTTACATGAATCCATTTTCTCTCTGACATTTTTCTAAAGTATTTTTCACTAGACTTCCAAGTTTTCTAAAGAACAGATGTCCCGAAGGTTTGGCTGTTGTTCCAGGTCCTTTGGTTTCTCCATACTCTTTGCACAGTGCTTCAGCCTTGGCATAAACTGCACGTAAAAAGAAGGTAAAGTTTACTAGGTTACAGTTCATCATTTCATGCTCACTCCCATTTACTTGGTGAAATAAAAAACAAGATTCCTAAGAACAGCGAAATGAGATACAAACTAAGAGGTGAAGAGCTATGGGTGTTAAACACTGCATTTATTTTTTGACTTGGTTGATGTGTGTGTCAGTCTTACAAAACACTTTTTCTTCTTTTTTTTAAATAAGAGCCAGTTTCCTTGAGATAGAATATATTTGGTTATGACACTGATATCAAAATAAAAAGTATCAATATATATTTATTTAAATTAGAAGCAAACTTCTCTTTATAAACTCTGGAAAATTCCCTTCCCAGGTCCCCATCTGCCCATTTGAAGGTCCCTTTATCTGCTTAAGAAAATAAAAAATTAGCTTTTAAGGGAGTTAATATTCTGGCAGAAAAACTTACATTTTTCTGATTCCTGGAGAGACCTGATTGCTTCACCACATTTATCACTTGCCAGCAAAGTCTGACCATGATAGCAGTAAGCCTGGTGCAAGAAAAAACAAGATTTCCCATTTCTGTTTTCCCCAAATGGCATTTAACAACGGATATTACTTCTTTCACATTTCAAATATGTCACATAAAATTGCCTTTCTCTATTACTTCAAATACTAATTCCTTTTATGATTTTTATTTCCTCTCAGAAATATTAGAAAAATTTTATTATCTCAGTAAAGGACTTGAATTAACTTAAAATTCTTCGTTTATCAAAGACAAAGTACACTAAAATATGTTACAAATATTGGAAGGCTGGACTTTCTTACAAGTATGCAGTAATGGGAGATACTTAGAAGAGCAGAATGAACTCTGCTATCAAGAATTACTACAGAAATTTCCTTGGATGAAGTTTAGGATTAAAGATGGATTCTAAAATAAAGCCAGAGAAGACGATCAATGTCCATTACTTATTTAAAGTCTACTCCAACATTTTTCATCTAAAAAAAATAGACATATATAGTCTGTTAGGTAAGTACAAAGGATCAAACCCAAAGAAAGGTTTTGAGCAGCTCATTACCAACCTAGGAAGGCTAAACTGGGTGGTATGTCAAGCCTGGTTTAATACTTTTAAATTTTATTAAAGAAATAATTAGAATGAAGGAACTGGGAGGACATTCATCAAGTCTGCAAAAGACGCCAAACTGAAAATGGCCTTACAAACTTGTCGAAGACAGAAATCAAAGTAGTCTTAATAAATTAAGCCCATAAAAATGTTCAACAAGAATAAATCATATCTTACATATAATAGGAACTATATAAAACTTCTTGTTCAGTACCTAAAATATGAGTACACTAGAAGATATTTTTTTATAATGGTGAGGTTTTCTAATCTATTTAGTACTAGTCAAGAATAAGAAATGTGCTAAGACAGAGGGTCTAAAGAAAAACCAACCAAAATGATGAAAGGAACAGAACATCAGGGTTTAAAAAAATGTTTATTTTAAAAACAAGAGCTATAGTTATTCAGTTGGAAAAGAAAGCAAAGACTATCTTTAAGTACATCAAGAATTATTATATAAATAATAATACTAAACTCTTTTCCATCTTGGCTTCAATGGATCTGTAATCTCAGATGTCCATATCCTCTCCATCAGGACAAATGTCACCTATCCATGCCTTTCGATTCTATGTGATGTTTATTAATTTTATGCCACAGATCAGCCACAGAAAATCTACCCAATGTGCTAAAGAACTTCTTTTAATCTTTAAACATTTCACAGATATCAGTACAGTACTCAGGATCTCCATGTGTTATCCTTTGCTCTCATTAAATGACTTGTCTAGCTCCTTCTCTGAATATGAATTTGCTCAATAATTTCCAATACTCCAATCATACATCTCTCCACTGTCCTTTGGGTGATCTGCAATTTTTAATCTTTGGAGCTTTAGGCACATAAGCTTCAATTATCTTCACTGTAGTCTTTTCTGCTTATATATGCTAACTATGAAGATGGCAAGGCAAGATGAGTAAATACGTCCCATGAAATGACGCTTCTTGCTGTCACTGGGAACAGAATGAAACTCATTCCACTAACTCTTCTGTTTACTTTTCCAAGCTGACGCTACAACCCATCCATTACTTTAACCACAGCTTGCTTTTGTCTTCTGGTTTCATATATCAACATTGGTATGGTTTATTTCTTCCAATAAATAGCATGTCAATTTTGTTGGTCAATGGACAAAGAGCTCACATATAAAGTATGTATTGTTAAGTTACTATTTATAGATAGTCTAAAACTGGGAGATTCTCAGCACTCTGCCCCATTTTTCAACCATAATTACCACCATCAAAGAAAAAGGGTTTGCACTAAACTGAAGGTAATAATTTTTTTAAAAAAATTGTTTTCTCTCAGCCAACGTATTGATGATGAACCTTTCTGTACTTAAGACAACATTCTTGTTTGTTGATGACTTTATTCTCAAAGCCTTTCCAGAACTGCAGACTCTAGGAAAGCTCATGCTTTGCTGGCATAGTCTTCAATAATTTAGGGTCTACCTCCACATCAAGATGGGGGCACTGGAGCAGGGCTTTGCAACTGTTTAACTTTAATAAGGGAAAGAGGACACAGACTTAAACTTCAGTGAGAAGGGCTAATTAAAACAGGTTTCCAAAGAAAGCTAATAGAAGAAATGTCATACTGAGTCAGATCCATGCATTTTGATAAACAAGGGACATTGTGGGATGTCATGGAACAAAACCAGAGTTAAACCAATTAATTCTTTTAAATGGGATTTATACTTAGGAAATGAAATATTCAGAGAAATCTGCTCTCTGTAGAATAGGAATGTATTCTATTTTTCTAGATACATTAAGAGTACAAATCTTGGAAATCTGACTAGAAAATAGGGTGGAGTAAGATGTAGATGACCACACTCATTTCTCTTTCCCTAGTCCGTGTCAAACTAAATGTTTGTACTAGACAATCATTAATGAACAGGGTAAGTAATGATATCTTTTTGTTCTGAACCAGACCAGGAATTAATCAAATGTTCTCACAAATAGCAAATGTGAATGTGGGAACAACATTTTAACATTATACAACGTTAAATAAATACTTACATAAGCTGTGTAAAAACACATTTTCAAGTGAAGGTATTTCCTCCATTTAACAGTATATGCAGGCTCCAAACTGGATAAAGTGTGATCTAAAAATTACATTTATAAAACAAAACATAACTTCTCTGATTGACAAGAATCTTTGGTTTTCCTTTCTTCCAGAGTTCAAATACTATCACCATTCCAGTTTAAAAATTAAGACTGATTTGTAAACTTGAAACAAATCCTAAAACAATTCTTTTTCAGTGACAGTCAAATTAGACAGTGAGACCAATCACATGATGATAGTTTTCTCTTTTGAAGAATGTGGACCAGGCAGTGAGGAGTTGGAAAGAACACTAGACTAGGAGTCAAAAGGCCTTAGTTCTGGAGCTAGATAATTCTGATACTACTTACTGCCCATATAATATTGGGCAAATCGTTTTTTATCTCCTTGAATTTAAGCTTCCTCATCTGTCAAATAGAGATTAATACTTCCATGCTTAACAGGGTTGTAGTGAAGTTCAAATTAGATAACAGATGTGAAAGGGCTCTGAAAACTTTAAATCATTATGCAAGTTATGGTATTGTCATTATCTAAAAGTAAACTAATCAAGAAGAAAGAAATATAAAATTCAGTAAAATCCAATACTGATTCCTAAAGCATAACTGTCTTTTAATTTTGCCAATTTAATTGAACTCAACATTTCTTAAGCACCTACCATGTGAAAGGTCCAAAGATAAAAAACAACAGTTGTGAAAAGACAAAAAACATTGGTGAAAAGAATACTAGACCAGGAGTCACAAGATTTATGTTCTACTCCTAGTTCCAACACTTTCGCTAGCACTGTAACCTCAGTCATGTGTGTTAGGACCTATTCTACCTCTGGACAACTGGCTGCTGGCCCATCACGTAGATGTACAACACCCCAATATAGGAAGTACTGAACAGAAGGCCCTGAGTGAATGTTAACCTATCCACTCTTCCCATACTGAGAGTCTGGAAATTGACAAAGGAAAATTAAGAGTTAAACCAACAATTTAGGTAATGAACAAACAAACCTTGTACCACCTAGGGGAACCTGGTTGTACTACTGAATGCCTTCTCCCCTGCCCCCCCACCCCAGTTCAGGTTCTTTTTCAGGTAGATGTTTGCATGTGTGTGTAGGTATATCCAAAAACACCATTCCCTCTTCTCCTCTGACTCAGCTCCCCCTAAGAAAGAGTAAGCAAAAATCATAAGAGCACGGTTTTAGAACTATATAGGACCTTAGAAGCAATGGGAATGGCAAAAGCCAATATCCCTTCAAGACAGTGAGAGCTGTATTCATTTCCCACTTCTTAACTTACCCTTATGGCTAACAAACCCCGACCTGTTTCTCTCTATATTGTTTTTGGTTTTTTGCTTTTTAGGCAATCAGGGTTAAGTGACTTGCCCAGGGTCACACATCTAGTAAGTGTCAAATATTTGGTCTGAGGCGAGATTTGCACTCAGGTCTCTCCTGACTTCAGGGCTGTTGCTCTATGCACTGTGCCACCTAGCTGCCCCCTTCTCTCTACATTCTTGTAAATACTCAATCATCTACCACCTAGGTACAAGCTATTTTCAACCTCCCAACCTCCTTTTTACTCATGTCCACTTATTCATACTCCAACCCTATACCACTCATGTCCCACTCTAATCCTGCTCACTCCCTTGTATTACATCCTCCAGAATTACTATTCCATAATGAATAAACTTCCTTTCATTCTGGTCCTCTTTCTCTAATACTCCTACAATTTACTTGCTCTCAAAGAGACCTGTCTTCCCCAGAGGACCCTACATCCTCAGTCAACATTTCCAACACTGTATCTTCACTCAAACCCCAGACACACTGGTCTTGGGGGAGAGTTAAAATACTCCTTGCTCTCCTCTGCTTTCACTTTGCCACCATCACACAGCAACACCTCCTCCTCGATTCAAATCATGGTGGCTTTGTCTACTGGTCCTCAAGTCATTCTCTCTCCTTTCCCAAGGAGTTTAGCAACTAGATAACTGTCTACAAATTTATGTTATAAAATCTCAAATGGGACCTCAATTCTGTTAGGCAATCCTTATCAACTCATTATTCCAAGCTCCAAAGAAACTATTTATAAACTCTTAAAAAGTTGCTAAAACTTGGCTGTTTCTACATCCTTAACATTCTTTGCACTGACTACTTCTCTTTACTCACAAAGCAGTTAAGTCCTTCTTCAACTCTCACCTAGATTTGTATGAAGGCCTCCTAATTAGTCTCCACCACCCCCCCTTTTTTTTTTTCAGCCAAAGACAAGGTTTATTAGAACATCACGTTGGGCAGACTCTTTGGTCTCCCTTTCTTAAAGGTCTCCCCCTTCTAATCCATGCACCACTCTACTACCAAAGAGACTTTCTATCAGCACAGATTTGACCATATCAGTGTCCTACTTGATTAACCCTGATTTACTGAGTAAAGTTATTACAGGGAATAAACTCCCAGTTATTTTTTGAATCAACTATAAACTCCTACATTTAGGTTTTAAAGCCCTCCACAAGCTGGCCCGACCCACTTTCTGGCCTCATTGTATGTTACAGTCTTTTGGACTCTGTGATCCAGCCAAAATGGCCTTCCCTCTGCTCCCCTCATGTGACTCTCCATCTCCCATCTCTGTGCCTTTACAACGACCAATCCCCCCCTCACCTCTGCCTCAGAGAATCGCTCTCCTCCTTCCAGATACAGCTCGAGCAACATTTTCTACATGATGTCTTTCCTGATCCTCCTCAACTGTTGGTTGTCTCCCTCTCTACTTAGGCACCTAGAGGCAGCTAAATGGGAGAGTAAATAGAATGTTGGGCCTGGATTCAGGAAGACCTGAGTTCAAATTCAGCCTCAGATGCTTATAAGCTGTGTGACTCTGGGCAAGTCACCTAACCTCTGTTTGTCTCAGCTTCCTCAACTATAAAATGGGGGTATTTTGCAGGGTTCTTGTTAAACGAGATATCTGTAATGCACTTAGCACAGTGTCTGGTACGTATAGGTAGGCACTGTTTAAATGCTTATCTCTTGCCCATCTCATCTCATATTTATCTACTTTGTATTTTTTTTATATTTATTCTGTATATACTCAATGTTCCACAAAGACTTGTCTTTCACATTAAAATGCAAGCTCCTTGAGAGTAAGAATTGGTTCAATCTTTTTATTCTCAGTGCCTGGATACATAGGAGGTACTTAATAAATAATTATTGGCTGATTAAAACTTTGGCACATTTGTTAATTTTGTGAGCCCCTAACTGAAAACTACTATATGAACAAGCCCAAAGTCAGCCAAGGGATAACTCAGAATCTCTTCTGACTTCTCCAATTGACTTCAACCAACTGTAACAATCAAAACTCCTAAAGCCTAGATCTATGAGTGAAGACAACAGATAACATGTTGTTTCCCCATCAATCACTACCCTGGAATCCATGAAGAACAAAGGAGAATCTACAATGCATCAGAAATGGGACTTTTCCTGTAGCAAAGGAAAAGAAATGGGAATCATCCTATGTAGTACCACCCCAATTCGGATGCAGATTTGGGGGGACTACAACACACTTCCCATGCCTAGGCTTCCTCTGGCCTCAATTAACTATTAATTTAATACATATGGATCTTACACATGGGTTTTCTCCTTTTTTCTCCCTAGTGAGAGATGCTGATTTACTGTGTAATCACTCATTTGAACAGGTCTTTGCCATCAAATGTAGGAATCAAAATGGATAGGAGAAACAGATCTAGTTTTGTTCTCCTTTTAAAACTCCTATAACTCACCCAAACAGCCCTTTTTCAAACTACTTCAGTGACTCCGATTCATGTGAGCCCAATTAATGGGACTAATCCAGTAAGTCATTTAACTTTTCTGGATCAGTTTCAGCACCTGCAAAATAAGGCTGACACATGCTTTATCCACCTTACACTGCTGTGAAGAGAATCCATGGCAAATGACTATGAGAGCAATTTGGAAATTGTTAACCCTGTACAATGAGACACTATCGGAAGGAGTTCAGCATTTCCCTTTTCATAGAGATAAAAATTCCATTTCCATTCACAGGAGCACTTCTTGCTTCTTAACTGTAAACAGCTTCATTTCATCACATTTTACTTTTAAGTATATCAATCTACATGGACACCTGTCTGATGAATGGCTTACAACAGTACCCCTAATTAAATCAGTGGAAGAAAAACTTGGACACCGGATGGCTAAGGAGCACAATAATGGACCTAGAACTCACCAGCTCTTTGATAGAAATTTGCTGTTTCGTATGCCAGAGCAGCAATTAGGCCTGGATTATGTTTGAGTTCAATTGCTCGAGCAATTGTAACTGAAAAAGAAAAAAAATGTACCTCTATATTAAGAATTGCAACAGAATACAAGTTCAATTTGGATACATGGTAAGAGCAGAAATATACATCTGTGTCCCTAAAGTTTTAAGACTGAGAATGTTACATAACAACTATGATGTGAAAAATGTAAATTCCTGAAAATAAAAGCACCAGCATGCAGAAATTGCTGAGCTCAGTAGTACAGAGCCAAATCCCCCAAATGTTCTAAGAAATGTGATTCCTTGCATTAAGTAGTAACTATGAGACATACCAAGAACTATTCCTATGAAACGATTAAGAATGGATCAAGAAAGCCCCTAGCACAAGCTCTAGCCCTTATAGCTGTATGTTTGCATGTAGGCATATCCAGAGAGCACAGAGAAAAGCAGATGCAAAGAGCAGAAATGGAGGGAGGAGAAAAAGAGGGCAAATAAGAAAAGGGTGGGTGTGGTTTTTTACTCTTTCAGAAGAAGTAGGATAAAGTCAAAGACCTTCCTCAAAAGAACCAGAAGTCTTTCACCTTGTGTAGCCAAAGAGAGTCTTGCTAAAAACTAATAAGGCCAAAAGCTATTAAAAATTTAAAAAAAATTGCTTTTTGACTACAGATCTTTCAGAACCAGTTATCTTCTGGACAATGTAGCTGAATTGCAAAATAAATGTACTTGTAGAAAATTAATTTCTTAGAAATTCAATGCTACATTGTGACATTTGGGAATACCTTCTTGAGCTTCAGCTTGACATTGAATAATGTAGGAATCTATGAGTCGAACTTCCAAATCCCTGCCTTTTTCTGCAGGTGTGATAAGTTTGGGAATATGGTTTTCCTAAGAGAGAGCAAAATAAATGCCAAATTTTATTTTAACTCAAATTATTCTCGCCTGTTTAATGTTATATTTAAATATTTTAAGTGAATGATACTTCTAAAAGCTGAGGTGAAACATTCAATTTGGGACTTTGCTAGAAATTTCAAGGGCAAATTAAAGTTGTGCTAAACAGAGCAACTGTAATGGCCAAAACCCACAAAGAACTACAAGAGCTTCACATACCATATATTAGTAGAACAGCAACTATAGCCACAAATAATTTTTGGTTCAAATCAAGGGGGTATTATGAAATTTTTGTGTATATAATTCATACCTTTTGGAAAGCATTTAGCCAAAATGCTAATACAACCAAGTTATCTTTTGTATGTTATCCTGAACTATACTTTCAGACAATTAAGAAAACTAAATGTACAAGAAAAATGCACCTAAAAGAGAATCATGAAAAATACCATGTACAATTATAGTTTTTATCCCTGCAGTAACATCTCATACCAAGACTACAAATGAGAGATCACCTTTATATAATAGGGTTTTAATGTTTAGAAAGAACACTTCCCTCACAACAAACTTATAAAATAGCTACTGTAAATAATGTAATCATATTGCAGATACAATACAATAAAAATTTATTAAAGGCCTGCTGTGTACAAAGCGTAATTTTAGGCATTGGGGGAAGATACAATTTTTGGATAAAACACTGTCCTTGCCTTCCTGGAGACTGAAGTCTAACAATAGGGATAAAATGTAAACAAATAGCTGTGATGCATGACAACTGCATCAGAAAGCTTTCAGAGATCTGAAGGATCTCTGATACCAAGGAATTTGAAAGAGCAAAGTTGTAAGTACTGAACGTTTTGGCTAGAGATGAACCAGAAATGAAGACCACATTCCCATTTTTTTCCATCCTCACCTGACTAGGAGCAATTAAAACAATACATTATGATTAAAGATATTCTATTTATTAAATTCACATTACACTACAAGGCAAAAGATAAGTAGCTATGAAATAGTAAAATAAAGGACCAATTACTAATATATTTAAAATAAAAAACAAATTTCTTGGATCTCATCACTGAAATTCAGAAAGCTTCAAAAAGTGAGAAAACTATCAAAAGTAAAGATATATTTTGGTACCTTCAAATGTTTGAAAATCCCAGCTGCAATTTTTAGGCTTTTATGAACTTCTTTTGCTTCATCTTCTGTTATGCTAAAATATAATGACACCAGTCATACTAATTCTTCTTTTTAGTTTTCAAATAATTTTTTTTATCAATAAAAATAATTATTTACAGAAATTCTGGCCTTGTTCTTTTTGTAAATTCAATATTAACACTGCATATTATGGCCTAACATTTCACTCATTAGCATTTAAAACATCTCTATTTGGAAACAATCTGCACAGTTTAACAAGAAAGTGTTACAGATCCTGAAAATAACATTGGCTATGTTAAAGTTAATAATATATATAGACATTTGCACATATTCTTTGCCCCTTCTGTTCACACTTACTTTTCTTTTCCAGCCAATCTTGATGCATATTTGGTATACCATAAGGCTACATTAAAAGCCATGGAAATCAATTCAAACACAGCATCTTGCTGGGCACTAAAATTAAACACACTTTCATTAATTTGGTTACCTCATATATATCAAGTTTATCCATATAAAACATTAGCATCAATATGATTACTTAGTATACTATCAATCAACAAATATTTATTTTGAATGTCTACTAGGCATTATAGGTGAAAGAAAGATTACAATATGATCTTCAAATACCATATAACCTAGTTAGGAAGGTAAGACAACTATACATGAAAATATATATTAAATGTCAATCAATCAACAAGCATCTATTAAATACCTACTACATTCTGGGGACAGTGCTAGGCAGTGGGGACACAAAACCATGAAAAGAAAATCTCTACCCTTAGAGAGTTTCCATTCTGTCACAGGCAACAAGTACACATGTAAATACATTCAAATAAAAATAAAATAAATATAAGGTAAATGGTGGAATTAGCAGCTGAAAAAACCAAGAAAGGCCTCATGTAATAGGTAGGGTTTGCCATCTAACTGGCCAAAGGGAAGAGCAAAAAGACCAGTTTGGCTGGACCAAAGAATGTATGAAAGGGAGTAATATATAAAAAGGTAGGGAAGGAAGATTGGAGCCAGATTGTGAAGGACTTCAAAATGCCGAAGTAGTTGGTATTTGATCCTAGAGAAAGCCACTGAAGTGGCATTTGAAATGACACAGTCAGATCTCTCCTGTAGAAAAATCAATTTTGGAAGTTATGTGGAGAATGGAAAGTGGACTGGAAGGGAAAAGACTTGAGCCAGGGAGACCAACAAAGGTGATGAAAAATACTCTGTGTGGTCTAGGAGAGAGGTGATGAAGGCCTGAACTGGATGGTGGGGGTGGGAGCTGGCTAGGTGAGTAGAGAAAAGGTCTATATATGAGAGAAGTTATGGACGTAGAATTCACAAGATTAGGCTAACTAATTGGATATGGAAGGATGGAAAGGCAGAGCGAGGAACTGAAAATAACCCTATCTTATGAGTAGTTCAGAAAGGAATGATTCTTGAACTGGTCCTGAGTTGAATCCTCAAAGGATGGGCAGGATTTAGATTGATGAAGAAGCAAGCTTTTCCAATCAGGGGACTGGAATGGTAATTGCAAAGTAGATGAAATAAATAAGTTTCAGAGAAACCAGGAAAGATTTCACATATATATACAAATTTAAGCAACTTAACGGTGATGAAATATAAGCCAAACGACTAAATCATAGGATCATAGATACAAAGCTTTAAAGTACCTTAGTACCAATGTCACCACCCACTCTACCCCCAGGGACCCTAAGATTTGGGTAAATTAAATAGCTTCTCTTCTGAAAATGGCTGGAAATTTCCTAAAGACGTCACTTCTACCTGACAACATAAAGAGGAGTTTTCTATTTCACACACATTCCTGTTAATGGCATAACACTGGCATTTAAATATCAGACAACACAAAAATTTGTCTTTCCATTGAAGACCAAAAAATGAAATAAAATGATTAGACATAAAGAAAGATCAATCATTGAACTATTAGAACAGGCAATAGCCAAGGAAGGTTATTGTTCAAGTTCTTCCTTTATTTGTTAAGGTAGTGTACTTTGTTTTGGAACAATTTCAAGAATAAGACATTATCTCTAAGGTCCCCTAAAGAGCTAATTTTCTATAATAATCACCTTATGATGAGGAATTTTCAATGCTACCCAGAAAACATTATTAAGTGCCTACCAGTTCTTTGCAGTTTCTATCCCCAGAGTTTAGCACAGTGTTTTGCATATAGTAAGTGATTAATGAATTTGAATCATTCATTCATTTATACCATGTACAAAGCACTTGTGGTATATACTGGGAATGCAAACATCAAAATAATAATGATAATACTGACGATGATGCTAGTTAACATTTACCTTCCAGAAAGCATTTAGGGTTGGGGGGAATACAACATGTATACAGGAAAATATAATACAGGGTATTCTGTAGAAGGAGGGAATATCAGCAAGTAGAGGGGAGGATCAAGAAGGCTTCTCACCAGAGATAGCATCTGAGCCAAGCCTTGAGGGAGGATAACGCCTGTGACAAACAGAAATGAGAACAGACTCTAGGAAAGGCACAAGGACAACTTCTGTAGCTGTACTGATGCAGGAGACAAAATGTTAAGTTCAGGGAACAGCTAGCAGTTACTTGGCTAAAATGTAGAATGCATGAAGGGAAATGAGGAATAAAGTAGACAATGTATTAACATAATTTATTGATGATAAAATAACATTTTAAATGTTGAGGAAGGATATGGAATCCTTCACTGATTCTGGAGAATTTCAACACTGGAGAGAAAGCCGGAAAGGACAGTGAAGGATTAAAGACTAGTTGTGTGGGAAGGTCTGCTGGTGGGGAACTTAACAGACAGTAAACAGACCAACTCTCTAGAGCTCCCTCTCAAAAAATGTAGAATGAATAGATGAAGAGAAGGACTTTCAACTTTACTCTCAAACATAAGCTCATATAGTTAAGGTGGAGGGCTCAAATGCCTACATCCTTGTTCTGCATGTTAGTACTTTTTTTTTTAAAATTAAGAGTTAGTCTTCCTCTTGACAAGGTGAAAGTGAACATTTTTTTTCACAGTTTTCATATGGGTCAAATCTACTTTTCTAAGCGAATGAAATATTTTTCTTAACAGTAAGAGTTAAATTCAAATATTGTGGTTAAAAAATTTCCTAGGATATTAAAACAAAACAAAACACAAAACTTGTTAGGGGCAGCTAGGTGTACAGTGGATATAGCTCTAGCCTTGGAGTCAGGGGGACCTGAATCTGCAGACACTTGACACTTATTAGCTGTGTGTGTGACCCTGGGCAAGTCACTTAATCCCAATCGCCTCACCAAAAAGCAAAACAAACAAACAAAACCAAACTTGTTCAGATTTTTACCTTTTTTTCCCCCTACATTTGTTTTCCAAAATACAGAGCCTATGATTTAGTCCCTAGTTAATTAGTTACAAACATCAGATTTAACTTAGCACTATATACCTTGGAACATGACCTTGTAATGTATCAGTCCACTTAAAGTTTTGAATGTATCTCAATTTGCTTTCTTGGGTAGAGTTATCCAATGAATTTATGAAACCTGAAAAAAAATTTTCAAAATCTTAGTTTCAAAGAACTTCAGATATCTTATAGCAAAAAAATTAAAATATTCAGATGGATCCCAGCAAGAAGACACCAAAACACACACAATTCTATTCCACAGTTTCAATGGCACTATGCTCACATTTACTTTCTCCACACAAATTCCTTGGCCTCATTCTCTGACTACTTCTACCTCACCAGAAACTTAGGTTCCCACCGCTAGAATCCCTACCTCTAAGGGATGAGCTTTTGCCTTGTTATATTGGAGCATAGGCTCCTATATCTCTTTCTGGCCTTCTCTCCTCAGCATGCCCCAATGCAGGTACACTTCCATCCTCAGGCCAGCTTCCCAGCATGCATTCATATATTATACTCCCCACTAGAATGTAAGCTCCTTGAGGACAAGTCTGCCTTGCTTGCTTGAATTTGTATCCTCAGTGCTTAGCATAGAACCTGACACATAGTAAGCAACTTAATGAATACTCACTCTATAACTAACTTCATCTAACTTTCTCTGGCAACAACTTAAATCTGAACACTCAAAGAGTAAGAAATGGTTTTCAAAATAGTGTTTAAATGACCTCATTTTCCTACCTATCTTACCATTCTTCTGAAATACAACCACAACCTTCATCAGAATAAAAAATTCCATCTTTAAAAGCCCAAGAATTATACATTTATTCAACAAAATGGACATTATAATACCTGCTTTTAACAAACAGAAAAAATTCAACACATGTCAGTAAAACTTTAAACATCTAACCTTGCAAAAGAGAAAAGTAGGAATCTGTTGCATTCTTCATCATTTCTGGGTTACAGGTCAAATCAGTGAACAGCTCAAGCAGTCGTGCCCTTGATGATCTCAAATCACTTGAAGAATAGGTAAGAGAGTAAAGCTAAGTAAGCTCTATCATGAAGTCTAAAGAAAAGTGGGCAATTTAAAAATATTTAAAAATCCATCAATTCAAAAAGATACAAGGCTTGTTCTCATATATGAAATCTTACAAAATCGTATCTCCCAAGAAATCTGGGTTTTTTTGTCCAACGATAGAAATAAATTAAATTTCTAATTTAGTATCCTCAGATATTATATACATATATAATATATAAATATATATATAAATATATAATATATATAAAATGAATCTTTAACCATTCAAAAAAGATAAAAACCAGTTCTAATTAAAAAAAAGAACTTTATTGCTAAGATGTCACATTGACAATGTACTGCTGATTTAATTTTAGATAATATACATGGCTCTGTTGAATCTTCTAGTTTAGGGACATTTTAAAGACTCCTATTTATAACTGACAAATACTTTAATGGATCTGTGATTGCAGGTGCCTCCAGTGACTACAATTTCAATTCACTCATGCCTGTCCATTCTATCTGATTTGTCCATGTCTACCTGTAAATTGGTAGCAGGAAATTCAACCAATATCCTAAAGGGCTTCCTTTGTTCCCCCAACAGTCCACAAAGACCAGCGGAGCTTTCCGGCTATCAACTGCTTCTTTCTTGCATCTGCTACATGATTGATCTTATCTTTCTTTCTGGTCATACATTCCTCTGATGACTTTTTTTTTATACCTTTTCTCTTGTACAATCACTAATTTGTAACGTGTTTCAGCCTCCTCCTGTCCATCAATCCTTTGTGGCTCACCTTCTGGATGATCTCAGCCACAGCAAAATCCCAGAATTGTTTCACACCAGCACCAGGTGGTCTCTGAGCTTGGACAAGCACCTGCAGTACCTATGTTCAGGTCATGAAGTCCTGCTATGAATCAAATTTGTCTCACTGTTGCTGTTGTCCTTCCATTGTCAGGGCTACAGCTCACTGCATAGCTATTGGTATAAGTATTGAGATTGGCCCACGCTAAAGCAGGTGTCCTGTAGAGAGGTATTATTAGAGAAGGCCCCAGCATGTGTCCGGTTTCCCTCTACCAACTGAATAAAGAAATCTTTTTGCTTATAGCCATTGTTAACTCTTTGGTTTAATTTTATTTGTTATTTTATTTGTTAGAGTTGACTGTGATTTTGATAACCTGTGTGAGCTCTCTGGTTTTTTTAGAGTTAACAGAGGTTACAAAACCTCTGTGACTCTTTGGTCATTTGTTCTTAGGGTTGACAAAACTAAGACAGAAGTTAAGGGACTTGCTCACAGTCACACTGCTAGTAAGTATCTGAGGTCACATTTGAATTCAGGTCTTCCTGACTCCAAGTCTGACACTCATGATTTGCCTCATGCTTTTTCCAAACCTCGAATGCCTAATCTCTGCCTCTCTGCCCAGTTTAAACCTAATGTAAAGTCCCTATGTTTTCGCGAAGGCTTCTCAGATTACTTTAAAGCTCTACTCTCAACTCATAACATGTTGTCTCTGGTAAATTAATCACATGCTAATTTGTGAAATCTTTTGCACTGTTTTCTTGAGTTTAATTTAGCATTGGTAAGGTAATTTAACTATTCTGGCAAAGTGTAACTTCTCCTATGTAAATAGAGGGGAAAAAAACAAAAGATCTCAAAGGTATAAAATTTTAAAATGTGGGAGTTTAACTTTTCACATGCTGTCTCTCCAACTAAACTGCAATAGTTCAGGGTATGTATGTCATATTACTCTATATTGTCCACAACACCTAGAAGAGCAAAGTGAACAAAGCATAGTAGTTGAAGTAAAAGCATAGTAAGAAACATTAGATCTGATTCAAACTTACTTGCAAATTTTTGAAGCTGCAGGAGTTGTAGCTACACCATAATAATTAAAGGAGACAGGTGCAGTGGCTTTTAGTGGGTTCCGATGAAACCAGTGTGTCATTTTCCCCAGATGTTTTCTACAGATCTATGTAAAAGAAACCTAAACACACAGGAGAAAAAAAAAGTATAGATCTGAATGTTTATAATGAAACATTTATAAAGTGAACTCTATACCCATTTTTAGTTTTATAATGAAAATTAAAAATACATATCATTTTGTTTTTCGTGTTTACAATATACATTTCTGAAATGCTTTTCTATTAAAAAGATTGTACTGTATTTAAGTTAGGTCTACATAAAATTTGTTATAGTTTGCAAAGTAATATTTAATTTACATGACCCAGGAAGCAAAAGTAAAAAGTTAGATAGAGAAGGTCCTTCCAAATAACCTATAACAACAGATCATATATTACTGTTTTTGGTATTTTTTTCTGGTGAGGCAACTGGAATTAAGTGACTCATCCAGAGTCACACAGCTAATAAGTGTTATGTGTCTGAGGCTAAATTTGAACTCAGATCCTCCTGACTTCAGGGCCGGTGCTCTATCCATTGTGTCACCTAGCTGCCCCGATATATTATTGTTTTGATTTAAATTTAGACTCCAATAGGAAAGAGGTTTCCATTATTATTTTTCCTGTATCCCATTGGTGGCACACAAATCTTTATATTTTCTCTATGATAAACATTTTCCCCTGCAGCAGTAGTAACAAAGATTACCACCATTTAAAACAAATTCATTGAGTTAAAAAAAAATCCTTCCTAAATCTTATAGACTGTATCTATAACCTCTATAAAAAAAAAAAGAAAAACCTAAACACCTAAGTGCACTACTATTTTTAAAAGACTGACTTGTATCTATAACCTCTATAAAAAAAAAAAAGAAAAACCTAAACACCTAAGTGCACTACTATTTTTAAAAGACTGTCATCTATATTCTATCTTGAAATTAGTCCAGGAAGTAGTGCACAGAAGACATTTTGTCAATAATTTCATGATTTAGAAATATTTACTTTAGTTGGCCTCACTACTTATTTAAAATCAATAATCTTTATCAGCTTTTCTTATTGCTATTAAGATGGTATAACTATTGACTGGCACAACACCAGCTATGGCCAAAGTTTAAAAACAACAAAACTCATTTATATGCCACTTTAAGTTTACAAAATGATTTTTTCTTAACACTTTGGTGAGGTAGATAGTGTTAAATATTACTGCTCTGATTTTACCGAAGAGGCAAATGAGGCTGATGAAGTGACTCATTCTATCATGCTATAACTTGCCAGACATCACACAGCTAAGTTTAAGATAAGGGATTTGAATACGTAGCTCCTGACTGATTCCATGAGTAGCACACTTCCTACTACACTAAAGAACTATGCAAGATGAATTAGAAATCAAAGACACTAATCTGCACTACTTTTACCTTTTGCACTACTGGCTAAAGACAAGGTTCATAAACCAAACAGCTTCAACTGCAACCTGTCTTTTTCTCTCTAAGACACAGCCTTGATATTCCTTTTATCCTTAGTTGACTATTTATCCAACATGTTGTAAACATAATCGTAAATGGCAGTATATGTCCTGACACTGTATAACAGGATCATTGACAATGAGCTCCAAGGGAACTTGAAGGCATCTAGTCCAACCCCCTCATTTTAAATATAGAGATCTTATGTAACTTGCCCCACGTCACACAAATAAGTATCAGAGGTAGGAGTTACACTGAGATCGTGACTTGGAATCAGCCACTGTACTAGCTTTTCAATTACTTCAGGCCAGAATGACAATATCCATCTCTGAAAATGAGTATTTAAAAAAATTTAACTTTTTACTTAACTGAGTATCAAAGAGAGGCAGGTAATCTGTGAATAGATATTCTTTGGGAGGAAAGAAACCTAAGCTGATGAAATACAGGTTGGACCTCGGTTGCTCCTATTCTTAAAAGAATTTCAAAACATTAGAATGGATTTCTGTAGCAGAATTTTCTTCCCCAGAGACATTTTTTAAAAGGATCATTATCCACCTGTATTCAGAATCAGGATCCTTTATGTGTACTCAACTTTAAACAAAACCAAATTCAATTAATCAAAATCAAGATTTACAAAAAAGCTAAAATTAAGAGGACAGAGCTTTAATTTGCAAGCTTTCCTAGTGAGTTCAAAATTAAGTTTACAAAATTCACAGGCATCTTTTTACCACTGAATTTGCCCAGTAAGTTATAGGACTACTGCAATCTACTACTCAGTGATTGATATTTGTCCAGCAATTTTATGACATATTTTGGAAAAGGGTTCTTTATCACCTAATGAGAGGAAAAGCACCTTCCCAACATACCTCTTCCAGTCAGTCAACAAGATTCATAGAATACATTACTTAAACTAAAGTCTGGTCTATAAAAACATACTTTTAAAATGGTAGAAACTTTCTTGAACAAATTTTGATTTCCTCAGTAAAAAGCAAAAATTGTTCATAACTTAAAAAACCACTTGAATCATACCTTTGGGAACTTCCAACTCACTTGAAACAATCTATTTCTCATAGAGAACTCTCACCTACAACTTAATTGTGTAATTCATCAATACAAATATGCATGCCTTCTGGTGACTAAATGGATTATGTACACATTTAAAAGCTGTAATAAAATTAGTGCTTCTTCCAATTTCTGGCGGAGTCTTGGTGAGATATGTCCAAAACATGATCTTTTAACTGAGAGTGGTTCTTAACCTCATCTTCGACAACTATTTCGATCTAATTCCCTTCCTTGGTAATCCTATTTTACGCACTAATAAACAATATTCCGAGAAGGGGTGACCCACTGGCTTCATCCAGAGGGTCCATGCAACAAAAAGGGTGAAGAGCACACGAAGGAATGAGGATTGCCCGGCCCCAGCCTCCCCAGAACTTTCCCCAAGCCTTCATCTGTCATCAGGAAATTCTCGGGGCGAGCCGGTTGGTGTGGGGTCGTCTGTGGAGTCAACGCACGTGCCCCTGTTTCTGGGATCACGCTCAGACCCAGGACGAGATCCTCCCCAAAGGACAAGACTGGGGGTGGGTGGAAGGCAGAAATATATGAGGGGAGAACGCTGGCTGAGCCCCACGAAGTACCAACTCACCTGAGAGCTGGGCCACCACTTCCGGCTTACTAGCTCACCCTCCTCCCACACCCTCAAGAAGCTGGACAAGTTGCGCCTGCGCGATAGGGAGATACACACTCCACCTTCCCCAGCACATACAGCTGGACACACAGAAAGTAGGGAGGAGCCGTGGAGTCATTCCAATAGAAAGTCGATAGCGTCAACTGCGGAAGGCAGGGGAAGGCTACTGAAAGCCGAGATCATCGTTCGCGAACCTTTAAGAGGATGCCTTGCGAGCCCAGTGTGTACAAGGGCTCTTGGTAAGGTTGGGAGTGAGGAGTAGAGCCAAAGTGGGGGTGTTTCCTGACAGGAGGCGGGAGAAGAGTAAAGAGTTTCTCTAAGACGCCCCAACCTTACCGTGTGTGTTGATGGGGCGGGGGTTTCAATGACGGGGACATGTAAGGGGGCGGGCCCCAAAACGGAAAACAACTAATAATAGACACGTCACACTCACCAGGCTTCTCAGAGAACCGTGAAGCAGTTATTCCGGGGAAGTAGAGACAATGTCGGTACCCTCGAGACTAAAAGCAATAGGACTACGGGAAATCGGAAACCTCGGGATACTGGGCAAAGATCACGTGGCCCCCGAAACCATGACAAACAAGCTGGCGGAAACCCGCGTCCCTCGGAGATCGATGCTACGGTGGCCTGCGTAGCCCCTCTGCCACACTTTAGGGCTTCGAAAGTCGGGTTGTGGCCCCTCCCTTAGGTCAAGAGCAAAAGAGGAAGAACTCTGCAGGTTTCTCTTCGAGGCTCAGGTGCCCCAATGACAATGGCGGCCGCTGGCTCCTCCCGGCCGCTCCGAGGAGGCGGGGCCGACTCAACCTAACACGGGAGGCGGGGCCTACGAGGGGCGGCTCCTCCAGTGCCGCAAGTTTGGCTGTGGCGGCAAATGGGCTTGGGCGGCTCCGGAGCTGGCGGCGGAGGCTACTGAGGCTCGTCCTCGGAGCCCAGTGGATGCCGCGGCGCGAACCCGGGACCATGGCTCCCTAGAGCTCTCGGGCACGGGCGGGGGGGGCGGACTGGACCGGACATGTCGGAGGTGACCCGGAGCCTCGTGCAGCGCTGGGGCGCCAGCTTCAGGAGGGGTGCCGACTTCGACTCGTGGGGGCAGCTGGTGGAGGCGATAGACGAGTACCAGATGTGAGTGACTGACCCCGGGAGCTGGGCCCGGCGCGGCCTCCTCCCTCGCCCATCCTCCTTTCCCCCCCAAATCCGGGCGCGGCCCCCGGGGCGGGTTGGAGGCCCTCTGTAGATGTCCGAGCTTTTCCCAGGGGGCCGCCTTGGCCCTTCCTTGAACGGGCCGGGACCGTTCAACAAGTAGGCGAGCCCGCCCCGCCCTTCTCTCGGGGTAGCTGCCCACGAGCCTCGGCGGGTCACCCCTCCCAACTTGCACCCTCCGCCTGTCTGTCTGCCTCCTTCCTTCCTTCCTCTGCCCTTGCAGGTGGCTGCCCCTGCTAGAGAAAACTTCTCGGCGGCGCATCCCGCTGGAGGTTCCCCGCCCACGTCCCGGAGCCTGGATGCCCGCTTCGTGCGGGGCACAATCCTTGATCTGAAGAAAAAAAAAATTTTTAATTTTGAAAAGGAGGTGGTCTCGAGCTTGGCTGGGAAGCGTTTTGCCAGCAATCGGGGTGTCCCCGTGGGTCCCCTTTCCCCCCTTCTTATCTCTTCCCGGAGGAGCGCGTTTTCCCAGTACACCTCGCTGCGGTTTCAGTTTCCGAAACTGTTATTTGCTAGGCATCGAGTTCCACATCCCCACACCCTTTCTCTGTTCCTTTGGGTGGAGTCAGCTCGGGATTCGAGGAGGATTGAACGCAAAAATGCGAATTCTACTCAGCGTCTGACCAACAGCTAGCTCCCTCTCTCCTTCCTTCTCCCCTCATTTGTGGATGAGTTAGAACGTAAGCTTCATGTGAGTAGTAGGAATTGTTTGGTCCTTCTTCCTATTTGTATCCTCAGCTGTAGCCATCCCAATACTATGCCGAGGCCAAGTAGACACTTGATAAATGCTTGTTGATGAAGGGTAAAAGATAGCTTCAGGGTACAGGTGGGTACCAGCTTCCTGAACACCCCTACCCTGTTTACTTCTTTCTGGTTTTCCATGAAAGCTTCAGAGATACTTTAAAAATTACTGATAACATCTGTTTGACCTTCATTTCCGAATATATTTCTTACCTATCCCGACTCATTCATCCATCTCTTTAGTAACAGATAATTTTTTTAAAGAAATCCAACAAAACTGACCAACACATGAATCCAGTCTTACACTATATGCAATATTGCACATCTCTGCAAAGAAGAGAGAGAAATACACTTTCTCAGATGAGGTGGGGTGCTTGGTCACTGAAATTACACAGCTCTCACAGTCTCTTTTTGTTCTCTTCATTTATATTGTTGTGTATTTTGTTTTCTTGGTTCTACTTCCCCTGTATCCATTTTTAAAAAATGATTCTTCAGGGATATCAGGCAGTAATACACTAACAAACGATTAGAACCCTTTCTAATTCAGTTGTGATGTTTATATTTCAGTACTTTAGTGACTATATCAGAATGACCTGCCCTTCTTAGTGGAAAGACCTTATGCACAAGTTTTAACTTCAGTTTTACTTAGGAGAGCTGTGGTAGGCATAGTTCACAGCCAGGCCATGTTTACTTATTTGAAACCTTTTACCAAGTTGGTGGAATTATTATTATTGTAATTAGAATTATAGTACAGTTCTGGAATAGCCTTTTGAAGAAAACTGCACATCACCATGAGAAACTATAGTAGGTCCTTCTTTAGTAGAATGATCAGTGTTGTGTGGAATTAAAACAGGATGCTATGTTTGCCAGCTCTTGCTTCATTACTACTTGGGTGTTGATTCAATAAAGAAAGTCATCTTTTGTGGGCTAGAAGAATGTTAAATAGTATGTGTGAATGAAATATTTTTTCCTAAGTATCTACTGGAGTAGATTGGGACTTAATGAATGACAGTATGGCATGGATAGAGAGAGGCTGTTTCTTTTGCTGGATCATCCTTTATATCCTACCTCCCTAAATGTGCCTGTATCTCAAGTCTCTTCCGTCTGGACTCTCTTCTTATCTCTCTCTACATTTTCTACTGGTGGACTCACTTAGCTCTCCTGTGTTCAATTTTCTCTACATGGATGATTCCCAGATGTATATATCTAGCCCTAGTCTTTTTTTTTTGCTTTCCATTCTCCATCACCAAATGCCTCTTGGACATTTCAATCTGGATGTCTTTTAAGTATCTCAGATTCAATATGTCTGAAACATAATTAATCATCTTTCATCTCCAAATACACCCTTTTTCCAGACTTTTCTATTTTTGTTGAGAGCATCACCATTCTTCTAGTATCCCAAGTTATCAACCTCGGAGTCGCCCTCAATTCCTCACTTTTCCTCATCCCACATATCCAGTTGCCTGGTCTTGTTCATTTACTTTTATGCTATCTGTAATATCCATACCGTTCTACTCATATGGCCCTCATTCAAGTCCTCATTGATTCTCTCATCTGTGCTGTTAGAATAATCTCCTAATTGTTCCTCCTATCTTGAGTGATCACCTTCTATCTCAGTTCATCCTCTACAAAGCTGTCATTGGGATTTTCTTAAAGAATAGATGTGACCATGCTTTGTAAACTCCACTGGCTTCCTATTTCCTACAAGATCGTACAAACTTATTACAGACTCCTCTGGCGTTTAAAGCCCTTCACTATTGGCCCCAACCTAGGCCTAATGTACATTACTTCTTTTAAAATACTGGACATCACAGTGCTTGGCACATATTATTGAATTGTTCCTCACAGTATTCCAGCTCCTGTCATCTCAGGTCATTTGTCCATTATGCCTAGAACATACTTCTTCCTCATTCCCACCACTTAGAAACCCTGGTTTCCTTTGAAGCTCAACTCAAGTATCACCTCCCCTACATGAGGCCTTTCCTGGTATCTCCAGCTGCTAAAGTTCCCTTCACCTAAATTACCTTATAATTTGTTTAATTGGCATAAATATAAATTATAATTTGTAATAGGTTAAAAACCATCTAAATGCTAGACACTCTGCTAAATGATAGGGATAAAAAATGGGCTAAAATGGACCCTGTTCTCAAGTAGTTCCCATTCTAATGAGTGAGACCACAAATAGATAACTAGATATACACAGAATAAATGGGAAGTAGTCTCAGAAGGGAAGGCCCTAAGACCTGGGGGAACCAGGAGAGGCTTCCTGCAGAAGGTAGGATTTGAGCTGACTTTTATGTAGACAGGTTGCCTCCCCTGATAGAATGTAAGCTCTTTTTCATCTTTGTATTCCCAGCATAGTGACTGGCACATAGAAGTTTAACAAATGTCGCTTGAGTGAATGAAATGATAATAAATCTACAAATATTTGATAGACCTTTCTGTAGAAAAAGGAATAGTAAATTCTGAATGAAGTGAGTAAATTAAATTATTCCATTCATCTCCAGAGTAATCAGTTTGGCACTTTTTGCACTTAATTTGATTTTGTAGGGATGTGGTCTTCTAAGCACTTAGGCTGAGGATTCAAACATACTCCTTTGTTTTCTGTGTTTAAACTAAATGTCATCTACCCCAAAATCCAAAGCTGCCTTTCATTGGTATTCCAGAACAAAATGACCAGATCTGGAACAGAAAGACCTGAGTTTAAATCCTGCCACTGAAACTTATTCCCTGTATGAGTTGGGGCTAGCTACAAGCTCTCTGGGCCTGTCTTACTTTTCTATAAAATAATAGTTGGATAAGAACAGAGATCTTAAGAGTGTGTGTGTGTGTATGTGTATGTATGTATGTGTGTGTGTGTGTGTGTGTGTGTGTATAATAGACCCCTATGGTAGTCTAGTGAAGCCTATGGCCCTTTCTCATAGTACTATTTTTAAATAATTGAAGGAAATGCTAAATTTCAGAAGTTAATGAAAATAAAGGTATTATTTTTTCCCATCAAAGTCTGTAGAATCCCTGAAATGTATACATGCATCTTTTTGAGGTTCATGGACCCCAGGTTAAGAATCCCTTGGACTAGGTGTCTGAAATTAAACAGCTTTTAGCACTCAGATTCACTCAATAGCAATTGAAGATTTTTTTTTATCTTAATAGGAGAGGAAAATTGACTATACAAACCATGTATCCAGATTAGAGTTTTGAGTATTTCAGCGTGATCCAGAGAAGTGTGATGTGATGTATTTTTAAAAATTTTTTTTGGGGGGGGGCAACTAAGTGGCACAGTGGATAGAGCACCGGACCTGGACTCAGGATAACCTGAGTTCAGATCCAGCGTCAGACACATAACACTCACTAGCTGTGGGACTCTGGGCAGGTCACTTCACCCCACTTGCCTCACCCCCCCAAAAAAAAATCTTTTGGTTTCTGATGCTCTCCTATAGAAAGGGAAATTCCTTGGCTTCAGATACCCATGCTAGGACTTTAATTGGAATTTTCCTTTAAATCAGATAAATAATGGAGACTTGTCTATTTCAAGTTCAAATAAAAACATGGTGAGAGTGAATTAAATTTTTGTAAGCATTCAGACTCTCTACAAAATGAAATCAAGAATTGAGAAAATTATCAAATAGACAGATATTGAGACAAAAATGTTACTTTGGTTATGTTGTATAACTTGAATTCTCATCACTTGAATGTATAGATAGTCTCACACTGCTGATTGTTAGTTTAGTTAAATCTTCCTTTTTCTATTTGAATTTTTATTGAAATAATCATTTCCCTATGTATCCATCTCTTCCCACACCCCACTCCCAGACATCCCAGAGATGACAAAGGAGAGCATTCCAGGAATGGGGGCCAGGGAGAAAGTAGTTGGA